GAAAAGGGGTCCCTCTGACTGCAAAACCACGCAGGTCCCCTCTGGGGAGGGAGGGGTCGGCGGATGAACAACTAACAGAGTTTATGGTCGCGTAATTCCGCTCTCACAGCTCTCCTGACACTCATGTCAATGTCTCCTGAAAACCTACCCTTCAGTTGCCACGCGCTCAGAGCATCTACGATTGGTTCTCCAAGTTGTTTGCAGTACGGAACAAGGAACCGCCCATGTGAAACAAACAAGACGATTTGCTAGATGTTGACGTGGACATTTGTCACCAATCAGATTGGTTGTGCGAGCATCGAGTGCATCGACCTCCATCGCCCGTGTCGCTGCTGCTTTCCAGCGTGACGGGGCGCCTTGCCGTGAGTCTAGAGCTCCGCAGCTGGATCAAATGCGCACGCGAAGGGGGAGCGAGAGGTGATCGGTCGGAGCCGGGGCGCGGGCGCCCAGAGGATAGTCTTCCTACAAGCTCCCCCAGGTGCCCTTTCTCACCCCTTTTTTGGTTGGGAGGGTTCCCCTACTAAAAGCTACAGAAAAAAAGAATCGGGTACCAACTTAGTCCAACCTCTCAAATCTGAAAAAAAACCTAGCCTTATCAGCTTCCATTGGAATTGGAGTTTTTTTTTTTGGTCGGGGTTTTCTCCCCTTGGATCCACATTCCAGATACAATAATGGTCACCCCGAAGGGCACCAGTTGCCAACTCCCATTGCCGCTAGGAGTGGATGATGTTTTTCTGGGTGTGGGGCAAACAATGAAAAAAAGCGCGAGGAAGGGGGGACCGCTTAGGTGTTTTTTGTTTGTTTTTTCTCCAGGTGGTCCAAAAAACCAAGGTGGCATTTTTTGGGCACTTATTTTTGACCCCCAGCCAGAGGTGTCAAGAGTGGGATCCGTTTTGGGATGTCTTTTGGAAAGGAACCCACCGGAAATCCAACGTTGACAGCCCTTTCCTCGCGGTTGGTGTTTGCGGCTCGAGGTTTCTCAACGAGGCAAGAAAAGAAGAAGCTCCTTTTGGTGAATGCCACAATATGGGCAATGACCCAGGCCAGGGTGCTAAACACAGAAATTGGGCCGGGCGATGTTTGTTGCGTGGTCGGGAAAAGGAGCCCTGCTTCAAAAGGAAGCATTGATCGTTCCTCCAAAGCAAAATGCACAAACAGCAGAAAGGAATCCCACCTAGTTATGGGACCTGTCGGATCCATAACTGGGGGTTTGAAGTTTGTATATACACATCAAGTGTTAGCATTAGAAGGGAACCAACATGCATAGACACGGGCGGATTCTTTGAGTCAGCCAGCAGAAAGCGTCCAGTCGGACATGGACCGTCACTTGGCTGACAGCCAGGGGTTGACATCTTGTATGGGCGTTTCTTCAAAATTGAGACCTATTCATATTCAGGTAGGTGGTGTGTCCTTTTGGTATCCCTTTTTTTAGCCATCCCTATTTTGAGAAGCCAGATAGATTTCTCATCTTTGCCTTCTGGTGGTATACTTCCCAGGTTTGGGCTTGAGCAACGAGTGAGAGTGGAGCGAGAGGGGTTTTGTTCTGGTATAACGAGCTCACCCAGCAGGCAACCAACTGGACTCATGACCATTGGCATCTCTGGATTCCAGAGAATTGTAGACAGAGTGGTCGACTTCTTTTACCAACTCTGAGGCGATGGGCAAGAAGAGAAAGAAGAGTTCCTCCTCGTCAGAGTCGGAGGCGGTTCCGTTCGCAACGAATCCGCAGCTCTCGAAGGCGGAATCCTCTTGGAATCTGCCCAGTGGCACCCTTCCTTTGCTTCCATTCGCTTAAGAATATTTGTTATTTTCCCCTGTTGGTTTTAAAGGGAATCTATCACTACTGGACATACTTTTTCTTCCAGGGTCTTAACCAAATGGAAGCTTGAGAAGATGTTCCTCTTGGAAGGGAAGCCTGTACACCTCCCTGTTTGCTGGGAGCGTTTCCAGAATTCCCCGAAGTTATTCTTGGGCCTTTGGGGTCGATGGGCCCGGATATACCTTGAAAATCAACCAACAAAAGGGATGCTCCATGTTCTCCGAGGGAAAGCCGTTTTTCTTTTTTTTTATAGGTGGCGTGTTGAAGCAGGTTGATCTAACTGAGCTTTCCGTGTGTCGAATAGCTCGTTATATTAGTCCGTGGGTGTTTTGCTGACGGTACCCTTTTCGGGCTGTTTAGAGAAGGGACACCGAAAGGAAATCCACCATTTTTGTGCGTCCCCCCTTTAAGCACATATATTGTCCATCGAAAGGCAGGCCACACTATGAGGGTTTGTAAGTCATTAGGGGAGGGGCAACATGCATGTGGCGTGGATCGGGCGGGGGGGGGTTGGGGATGATAGAACACGAAAGATGGAGTTGCTTCCTGGATGTTAGGCCCACTTGGAGAGTAGCCGTAGCCTGTAGCTCCGGGTGTACATCGCGTTCACACCTCAACTGTGAATCGTCCTGATTTGAGTATAGGTTTATAGTTGGACGAAGAATTACTTGCGTGGGCACCAGATTCTGTTCTTCTTTTACAGGAACTCAGGTTGTAAACATGGCATTTGTTTGGGTTGGAGCGCCTGAAGACAATGCCGACTTCTTGTTTTGAAGGTTGAGGGTGTAGTCTCCGGAAGCCCGCAAAGACGCAGCTTTCGAGTCTGCGAGTTTCGGGCTTTCCCCAGCACTGAGTCTCTGCCGTTTTTGGGGACCTGTCTGGCCATGGGTCAATAGCCCGTACCCCCAGTGAACATCCCAATCCCAACTAAAATAGACTACCTACCCCAAAATGGGATCCCCTTGGTTTTTCCCACAGCCGTCTCAAAATGAAGGGAACCCGGAACATGGTCAGTTTCCTTTCGCCTGAGATGTCGCCGCCTCTCGGGTGCCCAGTCCGAGTCGGAGAAGAAGCCGGCGAAGAAGGAGCCGCCAAAGAAGGGGCCTGCCGCCAAGGCGGCGAGCGGCGCGGGGGCCGAGAGAGACGCGGGGATGGAATAGGCGGGGTTTCTGTGGGTCTTTGCTCCTTGCAGGGGTAGACTTGGGATGCATTTTACATGTGACCGGTGACTCAAAGTGAAGCAAACCATCAAATATACATTCTATAACTGGGCCGAACTCTAATTATGCTTGCAGGGCAACACCACGCAGCGTGTGTGACCTTTACTAGGTCCCCCCAGCTAGGTGCCCTTTTACCAACTTTTAGTTGGTAGGGTTCCCCTACTAAAATAGACTACAGAAAACAGGGTACCCTTGTTCCAACCCCTCTACTGGAGGAGCTAGTTTCAGCAGCATAAGTCGAAGAGCAAGCAACGCACGAGCAAGCGTGTTGCAGCTCCAGCGAGCCCGGCGCAGCTGGGGTTCGTTTCGCCTGGTGCTCAAAGGACTTATCACTTGCGGAGGGGTTCATTGGAAGAGAAGCGGAAGGACCAGAACAAGTCGGGTTGCGGTTCCCCTTGTTGGCGATGGCTGTTTTGACTGTGAATTTTTAAGGTTCACTGAATATGGGCCAGAACCCGACTTATGTGTATTTTGGGTTCTGGGGGAAGCTGCCACAGATCTCCCAACTGGTTTTGGGTAGCAGTCCTATATATATATATACATATTATTGATTGAGGAAAAAGGCCTGCGGCCATATAGTATTATATGGAAGTTGGCTTAAGGTTTCCCAGCAACTGCGAAATTGAGAGGACATCGATGCAGTGATGCCAGTTGGAGAAGCGATCTTTTCAGTTGTGTTGTACCTGGGTGTTCCATTGTCTATGGGTTACTTCGCCCTGACTGAAATCATCCTTTTCCTTGGCCCATGCCCAACATTTTTCGGGAGGGGGTTCCCCCTGACTTGAAGGCTCGCAGGCAGATCGGCGTAATTACCGCTCGAGCGCGCGAGCGCTCGCTGATTGCCGCGCCTGAGGCCCGCGCTTCAACGCCTTTGCGGACTCGGACGACGAGGCGGAAGGACGCGGGGGGAACTTCCGGCCGGCGCGCCGAAGTGGCCGTGAAAAGCCCCAGGAAAGCAGCAGGTTCTGCCGTAGCCGGTTCTCTTGCCATAAGCTTGCGAAGGTTTTCAAAGGCTCACGCCTGGGCCATTTGCCAAAAGGCCCAAGACCAATTCCGATGGGGAAGTGAAGCCCGCCTGTTCTCCTTAGCGTCGCTGGGTAGACCATTTGGATGTGGTGTTCGGCCTGCTCCTCTCGGCTCGTGAGCTTGGACTGGACAAGGCCTAAGCACCCGGCCAATCCAAGAAGGCCGAGCAATCAGCCAGTGAGCTTCGGACCGAGCGAGAGGTCGAGTCACTTGTCTTAGGAAATGGACCGGTCCTCATTTGCCATGGTCAGCTTTCTCGAGGTCTCAACTTGAAATCGAGGCCGACGCCCCCCCGATTTTTAAAAGGTGTTGGGCTTCAACCAGCGAATAAGGCCAAGACCCAAGGCTGTTTGGTCAAACAAGCCGCCTTTTTTTTTGGGGGGGGGGAGGGGCTATTTCATTTGCCCTTGTGATTGAAGGCCGTTAACAAGGCCGTTGGTTGATTTTCTTTGGGGGGGGGGTAACCTTTTTTTTCAAGGCCAACCTAAACGCGGCCTTTTTTTCTTTGTTGGGGGCTTTGTGGGGTCTGTTTCGGCCCTTGATCCCAGGAGCCAAGGACGGCATCACGTCCAAGGCTGGGCTCAGCGCAGCGACCGCCGCCGACGCCTTCACCAAGCTCCTCGACCGCATCGGCCGAAGCGTCTGGATTGGAGAAGGGACTCTGGCCAGTCACGTATGAAGGTTTCCTCTTACTTTTCTCCTTATTTTCGATCCTTTGCATGGGGTGACCCGGGAAACCACCTCACCTATGAAGGTTGCTTTCGTTCGGATCCCTTATTTCGGCTGGTGGTTGGAGCAAACGTCCCCGGAAACCAAACAAGACTTGACTTTCGCCACATGGGAGAATGGTATGCACAAAACTGGGGCCGAACGGAAGATTGATCAACCCGGTATCCTCGGAGTAAGGACTCCGAGTGGACCATGGGTGTCGTTCGTTAGAAGTAGATGGTTTTCTCTTGTTCATTTACCGGGGCAAGCCCATCTATTTTGCCAACGGGTCACCTATGCAGTTGATGGCTTTCCCTGTCAGACCCAAAAGCAGTCATGAATGCAGACAGGCCCATCTAGGGGTTTTATGCCCGCCAAAAAATTAGGTTGCCCCATTCATAGACAGAGCCGTGTTCATGTTTCGCAACTCGCCTGCTTGGAGATGGTCGTTACTTCTGGAGGTTGTACAACCACGGATTCTTGTTTGAGAAGGTACGGTACCCCTGGTAAACAGCAGAAACCCTTGCCACCCTGGAATGACCCAATTGCTCGCATTGGCGGATCTCTAGGTCCATGTGGGTGGGTCATAGATTATTGACACACGAATGAAGCACACCTTGCTTCTACAGGAAACAAGCTTCTTTCGGACCATTATATGTGTCCTCAATTCTCTTCAGTGTAGAGGTAAGCAACGGGAATCAACCATGGGACAGGTAACGCAAGGATAATATATTGGAAACAACAAATTAGTAGTGTTTGACATTTCTGGCTTTTCTGGCTCTTCTGATGTTTTTGGTGTTTCTTACATGTCTAGCACTTTGGTGCTTTTGGCTTTATGGCTTTGTGTGTATTTTCTGGCTTGTTGGAGCTGTTTGCCTTCTTGGTTGTTTTTGGCCTGTTGACTCCTCGGCATGTTGCTTTTATGGCTTTCAATCTTGAAAGCAGAGCTTACCCATGTTGCTTCTAGGCTAAGCATCCTAAGCCAACAGTAAGCCTAACCTCAAGCAATCCTACTCCAACCACAAGCCAACGTCGGCGTGAATTGATCCCAAAACCAGCCGAGATCGAGCCCAGAACCCTCTGAAACCAACACCCTAAACTTAGCCCACACCAACGTGGGTCGAAATACAACCCCCACACCTTTTGTCAAGGGGCTGTCCCTTCACCTGCTTCGCCGGCCCAAACCATTGTCAACCACTGAGGAAAAAGGCGATATCTCCTGAAGCCATGAAACCACAGTTATGGTTCGAATGGTCTTGGGTTCTTGTGAGTTGCACCCTGAGATATTGAGAAGCTATTTTTTGAGCAAAGGGCATGCTTGACTGATAAGTGTCAGCCTTGCTTCCATACAATCGGCGTTGGATTGTTCAAAGCTTGGACAACAGGAAGAGTGGATTAGGGTGCATTGCAGCCCTGAAGCCTGAAGCCAAGGCCAAACCTAAGCTGACCAACTGCAGCCTGAACAAACTCTACTTCCACTCAACCAACCCTCAATCGCAACCTAATCTGACCGCCAACCCAAAGCCAGCAAGCCTGGCCATGGCAAAAACCAACCCACCAACCCACCAACCAAGTGACCACACAACCCAGCCCGCAGGCCAACATGCGGCAATCCTGTGCTTCCCTTGCCCGCTCAGGAAGCAGTGGGAGGCCAGAAATCCGATCAGAGAGAAAGGGTCTCACGAGAGGGGTCTTGATTGGACTCAGTCGTTCCCTGAGTTTCTGGACTTACTTTTGGAAAGACCCATTATCTGTTCAAAAGACGCACAAAGTTCAGCCTGCTTTGGTTGTTTTGCATGGTCAAGGGCAAAGAACTCGGCCACCTTGGCCATGAGCCAACAGCCTTGGGGCTGGGCCCTTATTTTTTTCGGCGAGAGAAGCCAACCGGATGCGTGGTGATTCCGGATTCCCCTTGCGCCAAGAAGTGCCTTGGGGATCTCTCTCAGGTTTTGTGAAAAGTAGGTTGACCACTGGACCTGTAAACTCTTTGGCCCTTGCTATGACCCCATAGCTTAGTGGCTAGAGAAGCCTTGCGGATTTGTTTCTTCTCATAAAGCAGGCAAGTTCGGGTTCTGACTTTTTTCGCTGTTGCTTAGATGAGTCTGTCGTTTGTCAGGGCGTGTCATTTTTGTGGGGCGCTCTTTTTGGGCCTGTTTTGCAGTGAAGCCACAAGGAACCTCCCATTTTGTTTCCTCATTTTGAGACAAGTCCGACATGAAGCCATCCACTATTCTACAAACCTAGAGGTTCATACCAGGGGGTTGTTATGCTTCATGGTTACATTTTGACGCACCAGGAAAGGACGAGAGCGCTCGACGTTTTGTGGCTCATTCCAGTTTCCCCCATCTGCAACAGACAAATGGCTGCTCAAAAAATGGGAACACCAACCAAGCCTGCTTTTTTTGGTCCATGGGTGTTCCTCAAAATTGTGGCTCCGCCAATTGGTATACCAATGGAGACCAAAGAAAAGGAAACCAATCATACGGGGCCGCGAATTTGAACCCACATGAATCCCCAAATTGACTGAATCCGAGCCATCTCGGAGCCGAGAACTAGGTGGTCCAGCGCCTCAAGATCAACTACCAAGACCAGATTGCGGCTCGAGTCAGATCCAGATCCCTTGGGGGGGGGGGGGTATTTGAAAGGTGAGTAAGGGGACAATTAGATGCACCCGCCTTCCGACTGCGCGTAGTTGATTCCCATCCAATTGTCCCCAGGGTGTTTGAAAGGGGTGTCACGTCATCTGGGGACAATTAGATGCAAATCAACCACGCGCAGTTGGTGAATAGAAGACTCCCTGCACGCTACCGTTGGGTTTCTCCTGTTTTGCCGGGCAACGAGTTGTGGCTCGACAAAATGGGGCTTTCCACCTTTTGAGACAACCCTCAGTTTCGCGCTTTGTTCGTTGGTTTCAGAGGGAGAGTGGGGGGCGCACTCCAAGATACATCTTGAGATAAAAGTTGCGGGATCCAGGACCACAGACGTTTGTTTTGGCCTTGGGCGTCCTTGCTTCCTTGCGGAACCCCTTGTGAAATGTTATAGTCTGCCAGTCGCCCAAAGGGGATCGATCGTTTTATTCTTTGTTTTGGCTGTTCAGGCTGTTGAGTTGCGAGTGAGTCAATTGTATGTGTTGATTTCTTGATTTCTTTCGTGGCCGTTTGGCTTGGCCCTGTTAGCTTAATTCATGGCCGGCGCTGGTTTCACATCCGGCCCGACGGATTTCCCTGGAGTCAATGCCCCCTTGGGCCCATTTGCACATCCAGCAGGCAGGATGTTTGTTTGCTTGGAAGGATAGAAGCAAGAAGCACCTGTTTCACCCATGGGTGTCCTTTTCTAGGCTATGATTGGAAGCAGATGGTTTTGGTCGTTTAGATGGGGTTTTGGTTCCAACCAGGGCCAGCGAGTTCTCGTTGCACCCGTTGATATCCCCTTGGACCTTTCCAGGGTTCAACAGCGACCCCTTCATCTCTGTATGCCGTAGATCTGGCACGCTGATAGTCAACTTCGGGTGAAGCCGGACCCTGGAGCTTCCCATGGTTGTTGTTGGGAAACATGTTTTACATTTTTGCGTATTGTGGTTTAGTGGTGGAAATCCCCACTTAACTGCTAGAGTTTAAATTTTTGCTCCCCTTCCAACAGGGGAGGCGCCTCTGATTTTTGTACGATCCGGTTTCTGGTCTTGTCTCCGGCTAGCCAACGCGGCGCTGAGTTTGGTGGCCAGTACCCAAAAAACCCACGCGGGCCATGCGAGCGACTCGGACATCCGAGGACAGGAAGCACAGCAAAGAGGAGAAGCTGAGGCGAGCGCACAATTGTCAAGTGCTCGTTGGTTCGTGGCTAGATGTTGCTTGGATCAGCTTCGGGGTCGGCATGTCAGTTTCTTTTCATTGGGTTGGATTGCTTTGCTCACGGGAATGCATCTTTGCCTGGAGGTCCGAATGGCACGTTCCTTCCCGCATATGTCCCCGCAAGTTAGAACGAAGACGCTTTGGGAGTCTAAGGAGCCCTCTCATGATGATGATCATTTGCTTGGAGCGCCCTCATGTCATGCTCCTCAGACTCCTCAGATATGGTATGTTGTGCAGACATGGTCGCATTTTCAGTGAGGATTGGTTGCAGGGCGAGGGCCCCTCTCTCAAAAGTGGTGTCCAATTCTTGCGCCCTTGTAACCGCAATATTGAAGCTGGGAAATCCAGAGAGAGGCAAGCCGTTATATTTGTCATGTGTTGTGGCAGGGACAAGGCCTCGCCTTGAGCAGATATTGGCCCTCAGGAAGAAGCTGGAAAAGAAGCACAGGGAAAAGGACTGCTAGTCCGGAGCTGGGGGCTTTGCTAGTGGAAGGCCACATTTCACAAGGTCTCTTCTTGGTCTCCCTCCCTCCTGCCTCCCCTCCTCTGCACTTTCAAACTCAGATGCAAGTAGTTACCTATTATTTTACTCTAAGCACCTTGCAGGATTCCTCTGTCTCAACCCGAGCGCTTGACCCAAGGCAGGATTTTTGTTTCAAGTAGGTTTTAAAGCTCGAGTCCGAATGGCATTTCAGGGCTTTCCCAAGCCCATGACTCTTCAGATAGGGACCCTATTTGTTTCATGGTAGGAACCCTGTCCTTCAAGATGTTCCAAGGCATGCAACTGCCTTTACCCGTTTCCAAGGCGGACCCCATCATCATGATTTTCGCCTGTCTCTGAACTTTTTACGGGGTCCTCAAGACTACCTTTGGATCCCGCTGGTTTGCCTGCAAACCGCCATTTTGAGAGGCCTCCAGATGTTCCAAGTTCTTCCACCGCTGTAAAGGTAGGACCTCAAACCCTCAAACCAACTCTCAAACCAACCCTACCAGCCCACTAGTTGTTGGAGGATAGCAGCCGCTCCAGAGCCTGAAAGCAACCTCGTGTTGTTCTTGTTTTCCCGCCAACGCGCCCCTCGCATTTTTCGGGACACGAGTTTAGAAAACCAACACGTCGCCGGCGTCTTCGAGGCTCCGCTCGCCCTGGCGGTTCCCAACGGTCCGGTTTCGTAGCTTTCTAGGTGTTTTTTAGTTGGTTGAGTGGCTTGGTTTCCGTATTTAACCCACAAGCTCGTCAAACTCTGCGCAAATCACTCACCGGCCCGCCCAGAACATCTACCCTTTGCTTTGTCTTTGGCCATCCCCCTAAAAAAAGAAACAATCAACGTCCCCCGATTTCATGGTCTTTTCGGGGGACCACCAAAAAAGAAACAACTTAAACACAGAAAAAAAGGCAAGAAACCAACACGTTCCACCTGGGGCCCTTTTTTTCACGTGCTCCGGCTCCTTGGCCTCGCCTTGCGCTCAGCCGCTCGCTGCATCCCACCGGCGCCTCGCCACCCACCCGCCTCCCGCGAGCCGCGAGCCGCGCCCGGGCTCAGCGCGGCCTCCGCGCCGAGAGGAGCTGAAGCGCGCCAAGGAGATGGCGGAGGAGGAGGAGGCCGCCGCCGAGGCCGCCGCCTCGGAGAAGGCCATGGCGCTGGAGCAGCGGCTCGGAAGCGGAGCGGAAGACGCGGAAGACGCGGAAGACGCGGGTTTCGGTTTGGGCGCGGATGGAGCGGGCGGAGGGGAATCTTTCTCGGAGTTTGTTCGAAAGGAGAGGGAGAGAAATGGGGGGTGATGTCATTGGTTGTGTTTAATTTACTTACTTTCCGAGTTGGACTTGAGTCACTTTTGGGGGTTGAACCAGTTTGGTAACTCAACAGTTCGGGCGAGTGAGATTTAGGGCCCCCAGTTTTGACCATGGGTCAGGGCCCCTTTTGACCGACCTTGATGTCACTCATGGGGGAGGCGCGGCATGCAGCGCCGTCACCTAAGGGTTTTTTTTGGATTTTCGGTACAGGTCCTCATGATGGATGACCATCAGGAACCCGCGAGACGGGAAGCGATGGTCATTTTGGGGCCGAATTCTGGTGTCCCTTCAAAAGGGGTTTCTCTTCAATATGTGAGAAGATAGTTCGGAACCGCGGAAGTGGGGCGGGGGGTGTCTTTTTGGTTGCCCTTTCAGAGCCAAACTGAACAGTGTACCAACTCTAAGTTCACACACACACAAATGGGTGTCCGCCTATGAGCTTCAACCTGCTAACTTGCTGGTTGTCGGGGCGTTGCAATGGGGCTTGGTGCTGCGAGTTTGTCTCCAAATCTTTGCAGAAAGAAATGTGAAACCAACCAACCATTTGGAGAGCCAATGTTCTCCTTTTTCTTTCATTTTTTGCGGAAGCTTCCATAGAGCCAAGTCCCCTTGACTGGCCCGGTTTGTTTTTGACCCGCACACTTTGTTGGGGGGCTTGGCAAATGTTGGCCGGTGGCTCAGGAATGTGAGTGACCAGCACGACGTTTTTGTTTGGTCGAGTGCCAAAGAGTAACTTCCAACCAAACCTTGGGAGCAGAAGAGTTCCGCAGGCGATGAATCAACCCCTGGTTGGGGGTTCCCATGCGGGATCCTTCACCCTAAAACAAAACAAACTTGCCCTGATGTACCAAGCTGTTCATCCGGTCAACGAACATTCATGGGACCCTGAACATTGCCAGACTTAGCTCACCTTTTTAACTTTACTTTTTGCCTTGTTGGTTTTCCTTCATTTTACCTTTCAGCCAGCAACAAGTTTGCTCGAGGCCTCCTCGCGGCAATGGCAGGTAGTAGCTCGTGCATGTCAAGCCGCCTGTCCCTTCCTGCGTTCCGCCGTGTTCGCCCGTTGTCTTGCAGGGAGGACGTCAGGATTCTGGACCCATTGACGTCAGGTCCCGCGGCCTTGGCTTGTGCTTTGTGGTGCAAGCGTGCCCCTGATCTCCACTCGCAGGCCCAACACGAGCTGAGCCAAGGGCTATGGGCTTTTTCCAGGCCAAGTTCTGCGCCCTGCATCATCAGTACCTGCCCCAATTGCGGTGCCGGAGATGTGGCTGAAGCTCGGAGGTGTCCTCATGTTCTTGGCATCATGTTGCTCAAAAGGCGTCCGCAATGGCAGTTGAGCCTTGCATCAGGCCGCTGTTTTTCGGGCAGACCCAAGCTGACAGCTGTCGGGGCTACAGTATGTGACGCCTGTTCTGCTCATTTTTGGGCTGCGGATCTGAGGTTCTCGAAACAGTTGCCATCCTGTTGGTTTGCAGCGTTTGCCTAAAGTCACTGGCCACCCCAGCCTGCGGCTTCTGAATTGTCTCACGCGCAATTCTTTCCGCTCCCCGTTATCGTATGCAGGACGCACGGGCCATTTTCTCTGCCTATCTACATTCCATCCGCCCTCTTCCCCAAGGAATTGTCGCTCTTGAAATTCATGGTGGCGTTGCAGCTTTCTCTACACAACCGTGGCCTTACTGCCGGACCTGCAACGAACCATGGCGACACGGGGAGCAACAGAAGAGCTTGCAGGGAGTCAAAGTCTTAGCAACTAAACAGGTTCAAATGAACTGGTTCCAGCTCGCACAAAAGGACAATCATGTGTTTGTCGCGTCCGAAACGAACCCAATTGTTACAACGCATGAGCCCCCTACGAACCTTAAAGAGTGGCAAAAGCAATCAAAAGCATACCTTTCTTGCAAGAGTGAGTTTGAGCTCTTCTCTGGGGCATAAGTCTCAGTTGGCAAAACCATGGTTCCAAAATGGCCCCACTTTGGCGTAGTCGCCAGCTTGCTCGACTTGTTACCTGGGGCACGGCGCGGCCATCCAGTGCTATCCAAGGCAGTCAAAGGAGCAGAAGGAGAAGCAACGCCTAGACCAAGAGAAGGCGGGAGTTGGGAGTGGTTTTAAGGATTTCCAGGGAAGATCTAAAATGAGAATGTTTGAGCAACGGCTTTAGTGTGTTAAAGTTTGCGATGGCCCTACTTGGCCATGCCCTTGTGTCAAGCATTCTCACATTTGTCCGAATCATTCTAGTTGGAGTAGGGTAGACTTGTCGGCCGTGTCCCTCGGTGAGGGCTTGTTTTAGACCATCCAAAGGTTTCCGTGAAAGCAGTAACACTCTGCCTCGGGCCTCGTGTTCCCCGCCCAAGGTTCGATACGTTTCGCCAAGTGTCTTGGGGTTGAACACGGGATCTCTGTGTGTGTATGTGAGGTTTTTAAGGAACAGATTCGGGTGTTGGCGTCTTTATTGGAGATGCTCACCTTGGTTGAAAAGGAAGCTGAAGGAGTGCCACTATTTGTGGGTTCGCCTACTTGGACTCATACCCAATCCTCAAATCTGGGCTTTTGGGATTTCATGGAGTTATTACGGGGTCAAGCCTGTGTTTTTGTTTGGTGCTCCTTGTGCCCATTTTTCTAGCGAGCTTACCTGGGAGCTCACTCTGATTTTGAAGGTCCTGTACTTGGGCATCCCGTATGTCAGGTAGTGGAGGAATAGCAACCAAATTGCAATCAATTCCAGCTCCTCATGTTTGGGCCTGCCGCTTGCCGGGGCGCCGGGAAACCCCTCCCTCGCCTCTTCGGCCAGGCCTCCATGCAGCGAAAGCTGGGGCCTAAGGGGCCCCAAGTGAAGTCCAACAAGGCGCCTCGTGCGAGAAACGCGTCGGGCGGTTCGTCTTGGGCGAACGCCGGTTCTGGTCCGTTGGTTTGTACACGCCACATATCTCACCGTCTTCTTCCGGATGGTTTGCCCAACCGGAGAAACTTTGCGGATCATCGAATTGGGTGCAGCATGTGAAGCACACGAAGCACTGACTAGTTCAGAATGTCGATCGGAACAGATTTGAATCCTATTGACTTTTGCGCTGAGATGCGACTGGAGCATGGAACCGGCCACGATTTGGAGCGCAGACATCCTGAGTTTTTGCGCACGCTCCTGGAATCTGGGATCCGATGTTTTTGAATTTCCCAGGGCTGGTTTGTTTACTAGGCCTGGCTGGGTTGGTTGGTTTGTTGTGTGGATGGTTGGATGGTTGTTTGGTTTTGCTGGTTGGGTGGTTGGGTGGTTGGGTGGTTGGGTGGTTGGGTGGTTGGCTTGCCGCATCCCCGGCATCGCCACGAATGGTCCGATGTTCGTTGGAATAGTGCTGGCAAACCTGGGTACTGCGACCCTTGTAAAGGCCTGGTGTTGCATGTTTCACCCCAATGCCATGGCAACGCGAGCTTCAACTAGCAACTCAGAGGCCCTTCTTGCAATAGTAGAAGGGGTTTGGATTTGATTGGCTCAGGGGATGTCCCTTTCGCAACTTCCAAGAAACGGGTATGGGTCGAAATGAAACCACCAGCGGACCGCAGGTTTTGGTCCATGCTTCCACTTGCAAGGCTTTTCCATTTTGTGTACACATTTGTTTGACCCACAGCCAAAAAATCAGGCGCCCTTTTTCCCAGACGTGGCGGGGTTTGGGGATTCGCTCGCCAGGCGGTGGGGCAGGTGCTCTATAGCTCCGACCTGCAGATCGGCGAGTGCCACGGCGGCGGCGCCGGAGCCAGCGTGTGATGCGAAGAGCGGCTGGAGAAGCTTAAAGCGGCTGGTGAAACGGAAGGGATGGAGAAGCTTTACGAAAAAGGGCCGGCCTGAACCGGAGATTTCTCCATGAACTGGGTAGAAAGGCCACCCTGAACAGGAGATTTCTCCAACTCGGCATGGTATTCAATTGCCAGCAGCAAAGCAGGTTGCAGAGTCGAGGCCCTCTCTCAAACTGATGGGAGTGCCATAGCCGGCAAAGACCAGTGGAGCTCAAAAGAGAAGACGCAGCCATGGGAAGGTTGTTAGCGGTGTTTTTCTCGATGATAGTACCTAACAGTTTTGTCATGAGCAGGCTTTTATTGCCCCACTGCCATGACTCTGAGTTTTAGGATGAGCCTCGTGATCAGACACGGGTCCTTTTATATGTCCGTGAGCATCAACCATTCGTCATGGAACAAGCTTTCGCCTAAATGGTGCAATGTGGGAGTACAAGAAACATAGCTATGGACGCGGCTCTTTCATCGGAGCCCTTAAGATGTAGTGGCGGGCCTGCAGTTTTTCCCCGAGGCAAACGCAGCCCCATTGGTGCACCTGATGTGCAAAGTTGAGCGCCAAGACGTAAGTAAAGCCCTTGGACCCATGGAGTTCGGTGAAGCTCACAGCCCGTGCAGCTGATTCTCAACGTGGACCTCGGTAAACCAGTAACCCCTCGCAGTTGCTTCCAAAGTCTGGCTGAAGCTTCGGGAAGACTTTGACCATTTTGACACAAAGTTCAATGACTTCGGCGCATCGGAAGTGAGGAGTTCAACCCTGTGGGCCCAAAGCCGCAGCGAGCTCGTCGGTGCGACTGGCGAATCGAAGTCCGAGAGAGTCGATAGGATGGCGTCGATCGACTGGCTCAGGCGCGAAGCGGTCAAGGGAATCAGAGATAGACCCCTGGCTTTTGAATTGCACGCCTCACTTGGAAAACTGTCCGAACTGTTGCTTTTCCTTTTTGCACGTTCGTAAGATCGACGGATCTAGGGTTCAAGCGTGGTGCAGCGAATCCAACGCTCGCAACGTCATCCACCCCCCAAGTCATGCCCCTCTTTTGGACTGAAAGAAAGACCAAACCCGCCCCCTTACCCCAGTTTGACGGGTGGCTGGGGTAGCTTTAAAGCAACACTCGCGCGTGTCGGCCTGCCATGGGCCAGCTGTTCGGCAAAAAGCCCCACCAGGCTAGGGCGCGCCAAAGCCGCAAGCAAAAGAGTGAGGTCTGGTAGCGTCCATTCTACCGGGTGAGTCACCCAAGCTGGTGTCTCTTTGAGAGACCGTTATCACCACAGGAAACCTTTCAAAGATGTACCTATTTTGTGCCCAAAACAGGTCCCGGTTCCCTCAGATGGATTTCTGCCAAGGGGACCCACCACGGTGACTGTAGCCTGGGCAAGTGGTTGTGGGTATTCGGAGTTTCTCGCTTCTATGATGCCAGGGAGGGGTTTCCAGCATTTTCCTATGCGCCTGTCTATTATTGCCAAAACCCAACTGTGGGCTTTGGGCAAAGCCCAGGTTTCTTTTTGTAGGTTTGTAGGACGGTCAAAAGCAAGATGGGTCTCAGTCAAAGTAGGGGAGCCCCCCAAATGGTGTCCTTTTGGCTTCTTTTGTTAGGTCTATTCTGAGAAGATGTTTTAGGAAAGCTGTGGAGATGTTTGATCAGCTTGCAAACACAGTAAAATGGGTTCCTTTTGACTTTCTTGAAAACCATCCAACAAGTTTCTCAATCACTAGCCAACATGCCCCTGTAGTAAGTTCGTGTCGTTGGGGGATGTTTACGAGCAAACCGAAGGTGACTTGCGGCTACAAGGAAAGTCATGGAAACTACCGGATCCTGAGAAACTACCAGCCATAAGAAACCAAACACCAGCAGATGCAGAAGCTTAAAACTAGAAGCCGGGCAGCCAAGACCGCAGACGCACAAGCACGGGCGGGCAACCACGCAAACGTACAAACATGCGCAAGCACAAAAGCACAAGCACAAGAAATAACACAACCACAGACACAAACACACAAAAGAAAAGACAAACGCACGCACGCGCGCGCACTCACGCACGCACGCAAGCACGCGCGCACCCAGCCACCCAGCCACCCGCACACACACACAGACAGACACACACACACACACAGACACACACACACAGACACACACACAGACACACACAGACACACGCAGACACACGCAGACACACGCGGACACAAGCAGAGACACACAGAGACACACACAGAGACACACAGAGACGCACCGAGACACACAGAGAGACACAGAGACACACAGAGACACACAGAGACACACACAGACACACAGAGACACCCAGAGACACGCAGAGACACACAGAGACACACACACACACACAGACACACACGCACAGACACACACACACAGACACGCACACACACATAGACACACACACACACAGACACACACAGACACACGCAGACACACACAGACCCACACACAGACACACCACACACAGACACACACAGACACACACACAGACACACACACACACAGACACACACACACAGACACACACACACAGACACACAGACACACACACACACACACACACACACACACACACACACACACACACACACACACACACACACACACACACACACACACACACACACACACACACACACACACACACACACACACACACACACACACACACACACACACACACACACACACACACACACACACACACACACACAGACACACACACACACAGACACACACACACACAGACGCACACACACACACAGACACACACACACACAGACACGCACACACACATAGACACACACAGACACACACACACACACATAGACACACACAGACACACCACACACAGACACACACAGACACACACAGACACACACACACACAGACACACACACACACACACAGACACACACACACACAGACACTCGCACAGACACAGACACACACCCACACAGAGGCACGCGCAAAGACAGACACCCACACAAGCAGACAGGCACCAACACACACACACACAGCTACACGCACGCACACACCTATTAAGCACCGCTGCAACCACGACTGCAACCAATTTTTGCGCACACACGCACGCACAAAGACAATTGTATAGCTACGCACATTCACACATATATATATTATATACATATATATGTCTATACTATTGTATATTTTTTAATTAATATAGACATACATATATATAATGAACAGGGCGCCGAGTCGGATTCTGCGCAGGGGCCTCCGCCCAATGTGGACCAGGATGACATGGCGCTGTCTGAGCCCTGGGGCTGGAAGCCCGCCATGGGCCTCCTTCAACACCAACTTGAAGACCTTCAAGAGTCACCATGGTCGTCCCTGTTGACACCATGAAAAAGAGGCTTTATAACATACAGGTTTGTGTGTATATGTTTTATATGTATACATACATGTATATGTGCACGTGGGTGTGTGTGTGTGTGTTTGTAGGGTACCCTTTTCAGCTTGGCTTAGAGGTGTTCAGAGGGCAGCCAAAAAAGGAAACACATCTCGTCTGGGACCCTAGGCTGAAACCCCCCTCAACTCGCTCCCAGAACCCCAGCCAAGCCACTGGTTGTTTAAGAGAAATGACCGAGGTAGCTACTGGCGATCACTGCAACGTCAACTCATTTAGTTTTTGTTTATCCTTGCATAGGGCTCTCATCTCAGGAGTCTTTCCAGGGGTCGCAACAAATCGTCCTGGTTGGTGACTCAACACATTTCCGTAGCCCGTTGTTTCTCATGGAATACCCATTTTATGCTTCCGAAGGCATAATTGCAGGATTCGGTGCTCAGACTTGGTTGCACGAGCAAACATATTGTTTAATAATCAGGGGAGTAAAGTCGAGTTTGCTGCAAAGCAGGGTTGGCGAGGTCGCTACAGCTTCCGACTTTTGAGCCTCTGGCCACCTCACATGCTCAGCCGAGAAAAGGAGGGCTGGCGACTTTCCTGGAAGTGACTACACAAAATTACGGGCTGGGCTACAATATGTTCCTTCACAAATGAGGGTGGGTTTTGAATCATTCCTTTCCTACTTGCTTGGACATTACTCAAGCTTCTGCGGACCCTTCCGCATCCTTGCTAGGTGCCAAAAGGGTTTCTTCTGCGGGTTTCCGCGGTACATGTTTTGTCATCGGTTGCTTCCCGCATTGGTGCAGACAGGAATGTGCTGTGAACCCTCCGCCGCAAAACCTTCCGCATGTTTCTGCTCGTGTGGTGTGGCGCACAGGTTCAAGAATACTGTCCCTCTCTGCGTTACTTGACAAAAAGTACTGCCAAAGGTCGTTGGTGGCCTCCAAATCCCTTTGTTTGGTGGGTTCCGTAAAGTCTGTGAATACAAGAAATAGTTCCCATTCGTTTTTGACTTCTTTGGCACTGGGTAAAATGGGCTACTTGTTTTTTCCGGTAGGTATCAGGTCTTCTTTTTCGGACTGGTCCCGCGGGTTCTTGTCGGAGTCAGGTCTTCTTTGCGGACTGGCAGGGTTCCCTTGTCTCACCTCCCAAGTTCCATTTCGGACTCTCATCACTTCTTGGGTTTGGACCGGTTGAGTGGCAAATCAAAAGTTTGATTTCCTTTGGACCAACTCGGGAAGTGTGAAACCAAACCTCAAACCTGATGTGGTTGAAACCTGTTGGCTTCCAATTGAACCGAAGCAGCAAAAAGCCTGAAAAAACCGCGCACACACACACACACACACTCGGGAAGTGGACGCATTATTCCTCTTTCCCCCCAAAAGAAAAACAATCCAGGAAAGAAAACACAAAAAAACAACAACAACAACAACAACAACAACAACAACAACAACAACAACAACAACAACAACAACAACAACAACAACAACAAGAAGAACACACAAAAAAAGAAAACAAAACGCGGGCGCGAGTCGCTCGAGACCTCGAGACGACCTCGTAGGCTGGACCTCAAGGCCCAGCGGGACCAGCTGCTGGCCTCGCGGCGCCGCGTGGAGGCGAGGGCGCAGAAGGCCTACGAGGTGGCCAGGCGCGGCGGAGCTTGGGGGTTGGTAGGTTTGGGGGGGGGGAGGGTTGGGGCGGGAAGGGTTGGGGGGAGGGTGGGTAGGTTGGGGGTGGGAAGGCTGGGTTGCGGGGGGGGGAGGGGGTTTGGGGGGGGGTTGGCGGGTGCGGGCTTTGTTTGAAGAAGGGAGAACGAAATGACCCATCAGAGCCCAGACAGTAGGCTTCCCATGAAGACCGCATAGGTGAAGCCCCACTTCCAGATGGGTCTGTTTCTTTCCCAATCAGCAGACATTTGGATGGTCCCGGGCATCCGGGCATCCGAGTGGTTGAAAGCCCTATCCACAAGAGATGTCTGACATCTACTTCCCCAGGACCTCACCGGGTGGGGAACCCGAATGAAACCGCTCGCCAGGCAGCTGGTCGCCAAAGACCAGAGGAACCAGGCGGTCGGCTGGCCCAGCATCCGCTAGCAGAAACGCAGACGGGTGCGGCTGAAAAAGATGGTCACTCCCTCTGGGTTCTTCTTAAAATCAACATCTACTCCTTTTGGCGGTTTTCCTGTAGCGGTGTCCTGCTGCGGATTGGATTGGAATGAGGGATCCTCACCATTTTGGGCACGCACTGACGCACTGGGCCACCACTGAATGGTGAAAAGGAGTTGCTCGACCTCACATGAGTTCTCATGAGCTCAGAGAGATGGTTGCTTCATCGAGCGCGAGCTCACCTCAAATAAAGGCGGGCTCGTGCTGCACGATGAAGCCACTCTGCTGGGGTTCCGCGGAAGATAGGTTCAAACTTGAGCAACCCACGGCCATACCCTTTTGAAGGGCAACCAACATTGAGGCTGCGCCTGGCCGGATGTTCTCCGACGCTGGCCAGTTGAAGAGTTGCAGCCACTCGAGTGATCACCAAGACTTCCCCTTCCGATGGTAACAATACTTGTTACATCTCCCCCAACAGTCCTCTTGTTTGGCTGTGTGATTTGCCACACTCCGGCGATTCGAGTTCCCGAGGTTGGGAGATGGAGGGTCTCAAAATGGGGATTTGAAGCCCTTCATGGATGGTTTCACAAGAAAGCCACAACTAGTACCCTGGTTTTGTTTGAATTGCCAGTCTGCAATCGCCCTTCAAAAAACAGGGGTCATCAGAAATCATTGGAAGAATGACCGATGAAAAGGTGTGCTGTCTAAGTTAAAGTCAGAGTTGTTTGTTGGGCCTGTTTCAAAACTTACCACTTGGAGCACCTGGGGGGGAGGGGGGGGGGAGGGGGGGGGAGACGGTGAGAATAGCTGCTGCAGTAAAGGGGCCAGACCAAATCGCCCGTAGTCACCGAACCAGGTATGTTGGCGATACCCTGGTTGTGGTTTTGTATGGATGGGCTTTAAAAGGTTGGCTTGTTGCGCCCGGGTGTCAGGATATTTGCCAGGTTTTACATTGATACAATGCAGGTATCTAACGCCCCACTTGCATACCCAAAATTGGCATCCGCCCACGTTTTATGGTTTGTTCTCATGGTATAATCCATGGATAGCGTACGTAACACTGTGTTTATGACCGACTGATTTGGGGATGTGTCACTGGGCCGTCACTGCAGTGGCTTGACATTCAGAGGGTTGTCGGTTCCATTTTTTTTTATGTTGTTGTCGGGTCGTTATATATATATATATATCTATATATTGGGGGGGTCTTCTGCTTGATGTAACGAGAAGCCAACAGGAAAGACAGCAGGGGGAGGGGAGTCACGAAGTACCGTAAGGACTGTAAGGGAGATGACTAGAATGTGGTTGTGGGGTACCTTTCAAGCCCAATTGCGCCAAAATCGTAGGGCAATAATCAAAGGCCGTCATGTCCTTTATATACGTCTTGGCAAAAGGTCTATGGCCAAGACTGTGAACAATTGGGTCACAGTCGATGGTCAGCCCGAGAAGTTGCTCTACTTCAAAGCTCAAGGGCAACGTTTCAGGTGAGACACCACATTTTACCATTGTTTTCTAGGCTGCTTTTTGGAGGGGTTGCTTTTGGGGACCCTAAACACCATTTTTGTGACCCCTAGTCTTTTTCACCACCACCTTTCGCCCGAGTACCTTTCGAGGGGCGGAGAGCCGATCGGCTTGGTTCGTTCGCAAAGCCTAGTTGCTGGCGCTGCGGCGGCAGAAGCAGCAGAAGCAGCTGGCAGAGGAGTGCCAGAACCACCTGAACAAGCTGGAGGAGTCGAGTCGAGACGTTTTTTCGGGGTGAGTTGCATTCGTTTAAAAAAGGGGCCCCGGACAGGGACAACCAACAGGAAGCAATCATGTGGGGTGTTCCCCTTTTTTGGCACATCCTCTTGTTTGGATGGGTTTAAAGGGGAACCAACCACGTCAGTTTGACCAGCCCAGTTGTCACTGTGTCACCCTGCCTTGAATGCTTCCTTAAATGGGGACTCGCTACTTTGTGTTGCCACATTGCCTCCATGGTTTGCAGAAGGCAACCGCAAAACACCACGTCATAATATTAGCCAATGAGAATGCATTAAGAAGCGTATCCCATTCAACAAACATCTCAGCAATCCACTTCACTCATCCGGGGTCGACTTTCGGGGTGGGTGTTGCCCCGCACACACAAAAGTCGCTGGAATCCAACAAAAAAGTCACCGACCCCGCCAAATTCGGCTCCAGGAGATGATCTTCAGCATCGAGATGGCGCAGACCACCAAAGGCATGGTTGTTGTTGGGAACCATTTTGTAAATATATGTTTGCTCATTGTGGTTTAGTGGTTGATATCCCCACTTAAGTGCTAAAATCTGAAAATGTGTGTTCCCCTTCCAACGTCAACCACGAAGGCACCGTGGAGGCTTTGAAGACCGGCGTGGCCGGGCACCCAGTTTGGGCCTTCGGAGTCGCCGCGTTTCTTGTTTTTGTGCTCGGGTGCCGCTGAAAATGTTTGGAGCGCTTCCCGAGCTGGTTCGCCTGATATTTGCACATCACCTTTTGGCTGCCGATTTTATTGGGGAGTTTCTGACTGGGGTGAAGTTTGAAGGGGTAGCAGGATAACCTGTGGAACGGAGAAGGTAGACCGCGCGTCCCATTTCGTCCTTGTTGGGTTGGATGGGTCAAGGGCTCAATGATGCCTGTTCATGCTGGCAAGCCCGACAGAACACAACGGGCGCCTCAATGGCGGATTATTGCGCATGATTGGAAGCTGTTCATTTCACCTGCAATTGCTGCTGACCTGTGCAAAGTTGTGCTGAACCCCAGCGCCCACACACACAGACAGCGGGTGTGAGGCCCTGGAAAAGTGGCTGTGTGTCCAAAGGAAATAACCAGGTTGGGGCAAAACGGTTTTAGCAAACAAGGCATGGCCCGCTTTGAAAGGAATGTGATCGAGAATCTTCAAACAACAGAGCATTGTCGCAAACATGATTCAACAGCCGGAGAGCCCACTCCCAGAAACGGTTTTGTTAAGGGATGTGTATGTATGGCTTTGGATTTTGCTTGGTCGGGCTGTTTGGGAATGGCTTAGGCAAGGAGATGTCACATCAGTACATGTTCTTGGAGGGTTGGATGGGGTCGGCAGACATGTCGCCGTTCTCGCCGCTATGATCAACAAGTGAAGGACAAATTGTGGTCAGTCAACATCAAGAAGCACGGGGAGGGCAAAGGTTCACAGGTGAGAACACCAAAAAGGCGTCCGAACTCTTCATGGTTGTTGTTGGGAAACATTTACGTTTTTGTTTATTGTGGTTTAGTGGGGGCCATGGGTCAAAATCCAGTACCCCCAATGAACATCCCAATCCCCACTAAAATGAACTAAAATGGGTGGTGCACCTACCCCAACATGGTTCCAAAGCGGTTTTGACCCACAGCCATGGGGCCCTGGGGACGGAGACGGGGTGGAGCGAGCCCAAAGAAGCCCTTAGTAAGCCCTGAAATGGTGGAGGAAGCCTAAACACATGCCTTTTTTTGAGGGCTTAAGGCTTAAGGGCTTCTTCTCCCCCCATGAGTTTGGTTGCAACAATGGACGGGAAAAACTGACTCCTAACTGCAGCTTTGGGAGGCCACTGGAGTTCATGGTCTTTAAAGCATCGGCTCTATCCTCAAGATCATTCGCAAGTGGACCGACAATGTTACTGGGTGGACTCTACAAAAGTTGCCCAAAGCAGCTTAACCAAGACAAATCTAAGTTTTAGCAGTTAAGTGAGGATTGTGACAAACTCGCCTCATGTCGCTCCTTTGCCCGCGGTCCCGCCCCCGTGCCAAGGCCATGATGAAGCGCATCCAGAAAGAAGTCGGAGGCGGGTCCTATCGGCGTGCAGCGTTGCCAGGGGGCGACTGTTGGATAAATAAGGCAGCGGCTGGGAGGAAGCCCTGCTGTGGATTGTTGCAAAATCCATTTCGCACCACCTAAGAAACCGTGGTTGAAACCATTGATTGTTGGTAATTAGCTACAGGGGAATCCAATCATTCCATGGCTTCTTGGGTGGTGCGAAATTGATTTCGTCCATCCACAGTATGGCTGGGATAAACAGGATTTTGACGGAGAAAATCCGCGGCGATGCCCCGAGCTCTTGCAACACACGAGACGTGTACCGGACTCCAGGCCGAAGCTGCGATCCCCACTTCCGCTCTCAGGCGTGGACCAAGTCCAGAGACTGCTTGGAGAACAGGAGGAGGCGCGGAGCCTTTCGCAAACCGTGCGCCGCAGAACGGCCCAGCGCCAGGGTCGTGTCTTTGTTTTGCGTTTCTGCTTTGTCATTGTTCACACTTTGTGTTGGTTTCTTGTTGTGCGTGTGTGTGTGTGTGTGTGTGTGTGTGTGTGTGTGTGTGTGTGTGTGTGTGTGTGTGTGTGTGTGTGTGTGTGTGTGTGTGTGTGTGTGTGTGTGTGTGTGTGTTTTTTGTAAACGCTTCGCGTTGCCCGCCTCGGCCAGTCCGCTTTTGGCTGGCTTTGAGGTATATAGTGTGCTTTAGTTTGCCTTGAAGTGTTGTTTTCAAAGTGAGTGAGTCTGCGCCGAAATGCGTGAGCTGGTTTCCAAGCTAAAAGGTGAGTGCATGTCCGCGCGACTCCACCTGGCTTCAAGGGCCAGAACGAGAGCCGCAGAGAGCTACACAGAATGGTGGGCCAAGCGCAGGTCCAAATTTCTAGGGAATTGACGTGTGTGTTTTTTTGCCGGCTTCTAGGGGGATTTGACGGGAGTTGGACCTGTTTTCAGACAGTTGAATCTAGATGGGATGTTGACTGGTTTCTATTGGCTTCGAGAAGGGGATTACGGTTTCAAGGGGATTTTAAGGCCCGGCCCTTCCAGGCTCGCTTCAGGCGGGCTGGAGGCAGCTGGAGCTGGGATTTTGGCCGCGCGACACGGCGTCCGGGCAAATTTTGGAGTGCATCCTTGTTCGCACGGCACCCAAATTGTAAGTAATAGCTTGGCCGCTTGGCCATCATGTTATGAATGTCCGCGGACTACAAGGAGGTCTTTGATTCAGCTCTATTTTCCCCAGTGAGTAGAAGGAAGCGTTTGAACCATGGACATCCCATCCGTTGACCTGAATCTTGCTGATCGCTAGACCTGGATTCGCCAAGCCCCAGTGGATGTGTGTGCGCGTGTGCTATTTGAGGGCGCCTTTCAACTTGGCAGCAAGTAAAGCGGAACAGGGCCTGATGTTGAGACACACTCTGTTTGGAGGGGCCTTTTCAAGGCTACGTTAGCGTTCCTGAGGGAAGGCCTCTATGAGTTGAGTGACACCTGAATTGTCTGATCACATGGCGACGGCTTGCTCGATGCCCTTCAAGAGTGGGCTCTACGCATGGGTTTGTCTCAAAATCAGGGCAAGCCAAAAAATGTGCGGAAAACCCTTGTCGCTTCCGCTTTGAAACCAACCCCGACAGGGTCCACCCAACACAAATAGGGGCAATTCACGCAAACCTCCAGTGCTGGCCATGTTTTGTTGTTGTTGTTGTTGTTTTTGTTTGAGAGGGGGGGTCCCTTGAAAGAACCTGACTACCCACACAAACCCTGGAAAGCACCTACGTCCAGGCCATGGAGGCTCAGCAGGAGATCAACGCCCTGCTGGCCGGAGGCCTTGAAAAAAAAACCGAGAGGAGAAACGCGTGACAAGGTCCCAACTACAGGTTTTTTTGTATGGCCCAAAACCTGTATTTAGTCATATTGAAAGTTATTTAAGGCCCAAAATCCGTATTTAGTCGTGGGGTAGACCAATCTAGGGATACCATCCATTTCCATTTTTTCCAGGGATCCTTCTTTCTAGAAAAACCTCCGGAAACCCAGGGTAAGCGGCGATCGGGTTTTGAAAAGAACGATGGCTGAAAAGAATGGGGAATCAACCCCTAGATTTTTTGGTTGGGAGGGTTCCCCTAAAATAGACTACAGACAAAGGTTGGTACCAGCTTATTCGAACCTCTCCACTGGAGGACCTAGGTGACTCAAGAGCTGTGACGCTGGAGGAAGGCGTGTGGAGGTTTCTCAAAATCTAGGGGTTCATTCCTGGTCGCACCAGCAAGTCACTGAGATAACAGTTTTACAGCCGATATTTGGGGGCCCTATTTTGACACTTAGCGGTTTTCTAGGGGGTGATTCCTTGTCCATTCTTTTCAACCATCGTTCTTTCTAAAAACCCTTGTTTTCCCTGGGTTTCTGGAGGTGTTCTCGAAAGAATGATGCATGAAAAGAATGGGGAAGGTACCCCTAGACAAATGAGATCGGACCCCCCTTTTGGCATAAGGAGAATTCACAAGGACAGCCACAAGAAGATTTGGGCACCCCTAGTGGAAAAACGCCCATGTGCACCCGAGGCCTGCGTGGCCATCCTCAGGATGAGTAGGATTAGTTTTGCAGGTTTTGGTGTGCGTTTCCATCCAAGGGCCAGACAATGGGAACCATTTTTTTGAGCCACAACCAGGTGAACTCTAGCGATAAGGCACAGCTTTCGGGCCAACAGGCATTGACATGGTTGTTGTTGGGAAACATTTTGCATTTTTGGTTTATTGTGGTTTAGTGGTTGAAATCCCCACTTACCTTCTAAAATTTAAATGTTTGCTCCCCTTCCAACGTCAACCAAGTCGAAGCGCTCGTCCGTTTGTGCAGCTTCGCCTTGCGGGCATTGCGACAATCGCCTGGGCAGGTGGAGCCGCGGCAGACGACGCCGACATGCTGGCGGAGTTTTCCAAAATGCAGGCCTTCCCTTGACTACTACTGGGTTGGATCTTTCGATTTTTACTTTTTGGAAAGTCAAGGTGTTTTCCACGAAACCCCCCAAAAGTGAAACTTTTTGCGGAGGGGTCAACAGCAACCAAGTTCCGCGGGATAACAAACACCGCCAGCCGACCAGGAAGATGTTAAGTTCGCCCCGTGCGGCGTGCGGCTCATGCACAATGACAAAGCAGGCATCATGAACCATGCATGACTGAATAATCTCCATCAGCCCAAATCAGCCGTGCGTAGTCAATCTGGCATGGTCTCATGCATGTCGCTGGAACAAGCGCGGGTCAGCCGGCGTGCAAAGTCAGTTTGGCAGGCATGAAGTCTGCTCATCGTGCCATGTCTAGCGTCAACATGCACGTGGAAGAACTGTTTTGCCACCAATGCGCTCAAGAAGAAACCACTGCTTTTCGTGTGAATGCTCAACAGCTGAATGGAAGCAGCGGAGAACGATGTAAACCTCGCGCTTTGAGGATTGCAGCGCCTCATTGTTTGAAACAAAGTGTTGGTGCCAGGTTGTCAAATGTTACCAGGGCCACAAGTTGCCCGCCCCTATGTTCGAAATGTTTGAAAACCTGACATGTAATATGTGCAGCTGATTGAATTGCTAGCATTCTTCCCTATGATATTTACTGAAGTAGCCCAGCCACGCTGCAACGATCGCAGCCCTAGCATGCGCCTAGTTTGATTCAAGCAGCTTCCAGAGTGGCGAGATGAGCAGCTCTCCGTGCCGACAGGAAGAGGCCACTCTGGACGCCCTGCAGAAGAACGGCTCGGAAGAGGCGCCGCAAGCACCAGGGGCCGCAGCAAGTGGGGTGTCCGTATTCGAGGTGGCCTCATGATGCCTAATGCCCGTATTGGCCTAGAATCGACTACATGAGTAATGCAGTGTTTTGTAAAGATCCATTTGGGTTTATGAAGTTCATGAAGGTGTTTGCATTTTGCGAGGGGTTGTAAAGAGTGGCTGTGGGATGGAGAATTTCATGCTTACAACCAGAAGCAAGAGTGACTGACATGTGTTTGGATCCAGTGGATGCAATCTTCATTTTGCTGAAGTGACGGTGCAGCCAATATCCAACCCATGAGATAAACAAGAGGTGTTTCCAGGGTTGGACCCCATGGCCAGTTTCCTATTGGTCCAATACATCTCCCCCCCTAAGAAGAGAGAGTTCTTTCATTTGGACCGGGCATGGGTAGTGACGGGCCCCATGTTTTTTTGTTGCTCGGGGTTGGCAATCTCGGCGTCAGCGTGCGTACGACCACCAGCCCAGAATTGGGTGTGTTCCTCAAAGCAGGGTAACTCCATCACCCCAAACCCTAAACTTAGGCCTCAAAAGCCCCAAACCCCCTAAACCCAAAAACTAAAGCCCGAACCTAAACCTAAATCCTACCAACCCTAAATAAACCCCTAACAAACCCTAAACTTGAACCCTACCAACCCTAAACCCAAACCGTAAAGACTGTAAGTCCGAACCAAACCAACGCTAATCCTAACCAATAGAAAACCTAAATTAAACCCTTTGCATTCTAAGCAATAGAACCCGCCGCCCTTTTGAGAAACGCTCCTCTTCGAGAAGCACTCCGTTTTGAGGAACACCCCGCTTTGAGGAGCAGCCCATTTTGAGGAACGTGCCACTCTGAGGAACACCACCCTTTGAGAAACGCGGCATTTTGAGGAACACCCAATTTGCGGAGCATCCCACACTGAACGCCTCTCTTCGAGAACCGCTCCATTTTGAGCAGCGGGCCGCTTTCAGGACCCCTTTCAAAACGGCGCTGCTCCTCAAAATGGGGTGTGCTCATCCTTAAAGTGGTGCTTCTCAGGGCCGAGCCCAAACACTCAACCCTAAACCCTAAACAAAGCCAGTCCGCAGGCATGAGGCTATGGAGGTATCTCAAGGAGCCCAGGTGGATGGTCACTGGAGCTCATGGACTTGATCGTCGCTTGGGGTTTGGACCATTTGAGTAAGTATGAAGCTCAGACTTCTAGTTTCACAAGCCGCGCAAAAAACAATGGGGGGGTGGGGGGGTGGGGGGGGGGGCGATTCCTGGCAAGAGGGAGTCCTCCACTTCCGAGTACCATGTCCTTGGTTTCAGTGGTTCAAAGCGGGGCCAAAGCCCAGGAACCAAACCGCCTGACTGTGACTTTTAGACTCTTTGGCGTCATTTGCATGGATGTTTGTACACTAGCCCATTGCAACTCATAGCCAGACGTGAATTGTTGCAAGGACAACTTGGAGTTCTCTCCAGGGATTGTTTCTCTAGGGGTAGACAACAAGGCTATGATTATATATATATATATATATATATTTATGTATAGACATTCCAATCAGTGCCATGTTCCAAACACACCCTTAGTTGGGCTTGGTAGGGGCTGCTTGTTTGAAGCAACAGCCCGCCGCTTTTGTTTTGCATGGTCAACCCTTGTGAGCGTGTTTGTGGCGGTGGCTACAACACTGCTAAACATGTGGAAAAAACACAAGTTGTGTGTACGGCTAGACCTTGTGCAAATCCTTTTGAAGCTGCTTGTATGAGAGTCTTGAGAGGAGTCTTGAGAGGAGCCTTGAGAGGAGCCTTAAGAAAAGCTTTATAAGGAGCTTTATTCACCTGCAGGTCATCGCATACAATTCCTGTCTGTGTTCTGCTCCATCTGCAATTTGAAATCAACTCCATTCTCTTTAAGCCAGAACTTCTAATACGATTCCATTGCTAGTACATTCTAACAAAATTTAATCAAAATCCTTTTGGAAAAGAACAGCATGTTTAACGTCAAAAATGAAACTGAAATTATGATTATGTCCCTATCAAATTATACTAAAGCAAACTGTACCCTGAAAATCATGGTTGGAATGGAATTCATCTCTAAATGTTCTTTCTGAATGGAAATTCTGTATAATTGATTACTTCATTGAATTCTGGTCAACATCATAACGCACTCAACATCCTCGTTGGTGCAAAGGAGCCTTGACAGCATCTTTTAAGGAGCTTTGTTAAGGAGCTCATAAGAGGGCTTATAGGGAACTTTACGGCTCCGTATGGCAAATAAGACGTTAACTAAGATTGAATCAGAATCTGGACAGAATACAAGAAGAAAACATTGAGGTAACTGTTCAGTTTTGAACGAGGGGGCAAGAAGGTATTCCTTTTCAACGACTCTAATTGTATGTAACTCAATTTGTTGGGGAAGGAGTTTAATCTGAATTGCTATTTGCAATTTGAATATGATTTTAGTTTGCCCAAACTGGTTCTCAAATAAACTTGAAATGCAAATTCAGCAGAATTTAGTAAGCAGCTGGCATTTATTTTGGACAGAGGTTACACCGACTTCTTTCGCTTACAACATAAACATGCCACATTGTGACGTACAGTTGATTCGTGCCCGCAGATGGTACATATGCCACAAAAAAGCTGGATGAATGGGGGGGCTGAGCATATATGTATATACATATATATACATGTATATCTACATATATATATATATACATGCATATCATGTACTTGGACATGTGATGCCACGGAACTGGCATCTCGCTTGGCGAGGTCGCTGAGCCAGCGCCTGCTGCGCCCGCTGCGCCCGTGGAGACGCCGGAAGAGGAGGAGGCGACCAAAAGTGTTGACCCGGCCAATGTTGCTAGTGCGATCGGCAGGGAACGAGGGAATGGCCCCTTGTGGTTTCCTTTAAGAAGACCCCCAGCGCCAGCAAGCAACGACTCAAAGACCAAAGAAGGTCACCCTACAAAGCATTGAGCCAATCGAGTTCCCTTTTCGTTTGCTGGGGGTGTAGTTGAGCACGACTTCCTTGCGATTCCCTTGGACCAAGTTCCTACCCGTGTCTTTAGAGCCATAGCCATCATGTCAAGCATTTGGTTCACTCATTGTCAAGGCAGGGCCCACTTGCTTGGTGCTTGATATTTGCTGACGTGTTAAGCTTGGAATTATGTGGAATTGCCAGAAGTTTCAGAGCTCCCTGCGACATCTAGTGACCAGGATTGGCCTCAATCACCAGCGTGTGGACCCCTTTGCGGGAAGCCTCATAGTTTTTCAAGCAGCTGTGGTTGTTTTGCAGATTTAAACAAGCTGTCCATTCTGTCATGACGTGACAACAGGAAACAGCTTGACATGGAGGAGCAAGCGCTCAAGCAATTGCGCCAAGAGAAACGAATATGGAGGTCAGAATGGTCCATTGGCGAAATCATTGTCCTTTTGGAGGCCCAAAGCCTTCGTGGCTCCATGGAAGTTGTTTTGCGGCGAGGCTCGGCATCCAAAAGCAAAACCGAATATCTTTTTCCAGACTTCGTTGGCAGGTGACGGCTGCACAGCCAGAGGCCTGCTCAGGTTGTGAGCCGTGCCGTGGGAGACAAAGACGGTCCATCACCCCGTAAGCCCCTGCTTTGTATCCGTGGTGGGCAGGAGGGTCCGAATTTCTGCGTCTTCTGTGTGAAACACCGCTATGGGAAGGGGACGCCTTCACCCCATATGAACCCCTAGTTTTTTTTTGCATTTGTTGGTATCCTTGGCGTATTCTGGGCGAAGCTCCCGTGAGGTGAGAGAGCGGTTTCAAGCTTCGCTTCAGGCGCCCGCAAGCCCGGTGAGCGCCGCGCCCAGCGCAGCCGCGGGCCCAGCACGTTTGGTTGGAAAAATGGCTGCAGCAAGCCGCAGAAAACCACCTGCGCGGCGTTCCAGAAGCCTAAAATCGAGCTGTTGTTTTCTGCAGGAAAAGCCCATTGAAGGACCAGGGGGCACAAAAAAGCACCACGCCCATGTTGCCTTGCGAACGGCTTCCATGTTAACTTCAGCTCTGCCCAGCTCAGCGGTTCGCCGAATTGATTCCGCCGGATTCGAGTCAAGCCTCAGGCGCCCAAAGCAAGCCCAGAGATCGCAGCTCCCACAGCGGCTGGCCCAGCGAGGGGCTTGCTCCAGAGATGCCGAGGAATTCACCCCATGTGAGGCGTTGGGTTCAGAAATGGAGGTTTCTCGAAATGGTGAACCCTTTTCTTGGATGGTGGGTGAAGGGAGACGAAAGGAAGCAACCCGGCCACGCTTACAGTTGCCCGCCACGCACGCCATTGCGCGAGGAGTGCCTAAAACAAGGGCGAGGCGCAACAAGCCTCAAAGCCAAAGGATCGTTGCGTAGCAACAAAAGCCGGAGTCCGGCGCGCAGGGCCGTTGCAAAACTCTGCCACGCCTGATGACGCTAGAAGGAGACCCTTCCTGAGGCCTGCAAGGCTAGTTGACTCTTCACGATCTTCATGTAGTCCACGATGCGAGTGAAAAGTTCACTAACCGCAGGTCACTGCCTCGCTGAGAAATCTAGGTGCCAACTCGAATCATGCGCATTAGCAGCATGACAAGCGAAAGGTGGTTCCAGGACATCTGGTAAAAGGTGCGTACTCAACAGCTACTCTTTCATGACCATCCAAATTGGCCGCAGTGGACAGACAAACGCCCTGCTGGCAAGAGCCATCGTGTAAGTAAAAAGACAATTCGGCGTGACTCAGTTCACGATGCAGACCAGTGTACTGCGAGATGCGGTCCTTCCTCAGCGCACAAATCTTGGCTCCATGCGGGCAACCCTTAGGCGGACGCAGCAATGAGGGGCCATCCCTGACTGCGAGAAAATATCCTGTGGCTATCAGGGATTCCTCACTAATCTTCACCCTGAGACAGAGAAAGTCCTGTAGCTACTGTGTTACCCTTGATGGACATGCGTGACAGCCCAGAGCCAAACGCCTACCAAAGGAGACACCCCATTTTCACGCGGCCCTATTGTGAGAAACGTGTTTATCGCCTAGAACGATTGAACCTAGATTGACTGCACTAGAGTCAGAAAATCAGTTGCTCCTGGATTTCCTTCTTGGGATGGCCTGGTACTCCCCTCTACCCATGTGTCGTTCTTTGTTCTTAGCCGGCCGGTGCGCCGTTTTCGTTTTTCCTCAGACGTACAGCGGCACCTCTGATGGTTCCCATTGTGGAATTGGTTCTGGAAATGAACCTAGAGATTCCACAAAGGAAACTTGAGACAGCCACAAGACAAGGGGCAAGAGGCTCCACACCTTCTCCACTGAGGCACGGATCTTGGAGCCTGCGTGAGGAAATCCAATCCGCGGCACAAGGCAGAAATTCAAAAAACGCCGCCTGAACGTCTCCGATTTGTTGTAGCTGGAATGAGTAAGTCGGAGAGGTATTGATGGGCATGCCTGGGATTCTCTGGACACGTGTGAGGGGTCTGAAGGTAAGCTGCAAAACAATGTGCCTGCCATCACGGATTGCATCCGCCCTTGGCGCTTCCCACAGAAGTGGGCCGCGCTGCCCGCGCTGTGAGCCGCGAGCGGCAATGGCCTGCGCCGCTGTGCGTTGTTCGTTTTCGACGGCTGTCAAGCAGCCGCAAAGAGAAACAAGCGCCCGCAAGCATGTGCAAAATGTTCCGGTAAGTTTAGGAAAATGATCCTTGGAACTTGTTGGCTTTGTTTGGTTTTCCTTGAATTACCTACCACAAGAGGGTCCACCATTTTGAGGAACATTTATTTGACAGCTGTGCAACATGAGGGATTGTCCAAGAAATGACACCGCAAAGTATGCTCAAAAGTCGCCAAACTGAAGCTGCTACCCCGCATCAGGAAGGCCACCTGGCGAGTACACCCAATCGCAATTGCCCAAAACATTAAATGTGCCTGTCAAATGAAAGTGGTTTGGAGATGTTTGGAGGCTAGGAACAGCACGACTCGCAAGCGCGAACGGCTCAAGGTATCCGGGAGTTGAATGAGCGCCCTCCTCTCACGAAGAGATTGTGTGTATATCTATATACGTACATACATACATTGTAAGGATATTACATGCAGCACATGTGCGAGGTGGCTTGACGTGACAAGTTGAAAGCATGGTCAAGAACAATCGAATTATTTGCAGCTTGCGCAATCGAAAGGACCCGTGCCCAAGGCAACTCGTGAGAAACGAATCCCGGCGATCGCGATTTCGCCTCCGCACAGCTGGCGGAGGCCCTGGGAAAAGTCAATTTTTGCGCGAGCGGTGTCCAGCTGTTCCACCCTTTTGTCCTTAGTTTTGGTTGGCGACAAAAAAGTGGCTCCACTCAGAGTCACGCAGGTTCGCCCAGTGTTTGTTTTTTTTGGTAGAGGTTGCCTTCAAATCAGCCAACAACGAGGACGCCCCCGTTTTGTCCCTCCGGCAACTTGGCACTGATCAGTTGTCCCAAACTAATTTGTGCTCGGAACATGGCGCGGTTGGCAACAAGATGAAACAATTGGGTCTCCGGTCCCTTTACAGGTGCGGCATGAACCCAACGCTTATGGATGCGGGCTATGGGGGTTGAAACCCAATCCTTGGGCCGTGTCCATTTTTTGCGACGCGAAGAAACAAAAGCACCGGAAGGGGGCCGAGTTTGTGGCTTTCCAGCCGATTTCGGTGCATTAAATACCTCTGGGCTAAAGTTTGTTTTTGTTGTTTTTTTCTTCTTCTTTTTCCGGGGCAAGAAAGAAAGCCTATGAGGACTCCTTTCTTTGGCGGCCCTTGATTTCAGGTTGGTGGACTTGTTGTAATTCTCGAGACCAAAATGAACCACAGGGAAACCGCCCGTTTTGGGGGAAGTTAGTGACTTGTCAGCCGTAGCTATGCCTTGGCCAGCCTATCGCTTTACCCACAAATTGCACCGATTCGCTTTCGCCTGCCAGTAACCGGCTGTCACCATGGCCGCAACCAACGCTGTCGGGACCCCGAGTTGCAGAGTAGCGTGTGTTGGCACGGGTTTCAGTTTGGTCAGGGAAATCAACAGGGCAACCAACATTTGCTGCCCTATTTGGACACATACCCATGTGTTTGTGTGTGTGTGTGTGTGCGCGTGTAAAAGTGAGTTACATGCCTTGGACAATGACACTTTTCGTGTGCATATCAGTTGTGACGAGGACAAATGATATGAAACACCAAACTGCCCCAATGCCTGACATGGCCGTGCGACAGTTTTGACGGTGTCACCTTGACCACACTGCAGCCAGGAGCAATTGTGCCCAGGAACGGGGCAAAAATCGGATACACGTGATATTTGTCAGGTGACTGGTGACAACAATTGAAGCAGACAAATCCATGAATCTCAGGCAGAGTGTCTACTTTGCCTGTTTCTAGAGATGATCAACGTCAGGGTCATCCCTTCTGCCTACCGGTGATTTTGGTTGCGCAATGAGGCCGGTACAAGAGAGAAGGCCAAATTCCGATGAAAACGTCCACGGAGACGCCAAAGGTGAAGGAGTATATGTAGTACACATATGCGATAGATATATATATATATATATACACATACAGACATGCACATTTATAATGTATATATATATATGCAGATGTCGACCAAAGGAATTAGTTTGTCTTGGCCGCTGAGGCAGGCAACATAGGCCAAACATGTGGCCCGAGATACCTGTTTGTAAGATTGTGTTTCTGCTTTTGTTGGCCGTTGGAGTCACAAAAGGGCCATGGGACTGCTGATACTTCAAGGCCTACGGGGGCCTGCAGGGACCAATGCTTCTTCCGACCGTGATCGTGGATTGAGATGCCACAAGTCGGTGTGTTCTAAGCAGGGGCTAGAAAGGCTAAGGGTTTGGGCAGTTCTTTTGGCCCACTTGAAAGGCGAAGTCAAAAGCGCCAATGGTTCAATCATCACCTTTCGGGCCAATGCTGACGGTGTTTTTTACTTTTGTGGGGGTACACTGGCTTACCGGGCACAGGGGACATAGAAGGAACCTACTGTAAGTGTGAAGCCCTCGTGTTCTCGGGCCATCGGGTGTCCGAGGCGATCATGGGCCGGAGGCGAGGTTTGAAGAGGGCCCGAACATGTTGATTTCTTCTCAAAAAAAGATATATACATGGTGTTGTTCATTTGTTCTTAAAGAATATTGGGGTCGTTTTGATTTGTTCTCAAACTTTCTTGAGGTCGTTTGTGTGTTCTCAAAAATACTTGAGGTTGTTTTGTTTTGTTCTCAAGATTACTTGACATTGTTTTGATTTGTTTAAATAATATTGGGGGCGTTTTCATTTGTTCTCAAATAGTATTGGGGTCGTTTTTGATTTGTTCTCAAAATTGCTTGGGGTCGTTTATGTGTTCTCAAAATTACTGGGGGGTCGTGTTGACTTGTTCTCAAAATTACTGGGGGGTCGTGTTGACTTGTTCTCAAAATTACTTGGTCGTTTTGTCTTGTTCTCAAATGACATTGGGGTCGGTTTGATTTGTTCCCAACATTACTTGGGGTCGTTTCTCTTTAAACCACCAGAGGGAACATCCGAACATGTCATTCACTCCCAGGTATTATCTCCCCTTACAAAGTTTGTTAGGGAGCCCCAGAAGTGCGGCCCCAGATCTCTATGGCGTTGGTGCTTACCAGGGTCGCTGAGCTGGCGATGGATGTTCAACCGTAGCTTGGTTTTTGTTTTTGTTTTTCCGGCTGAAGTGGCTTGAACGTGCGAGCGGTGCCGTGTTCACACGGCTGATCCGCCCAAGTCCCAAGTCCGCCCGACCTCGGGGCGCTCGGCCGCAGGCTGACGGCCTTTGGGCATCACAACCTTTTGGTTGCACCCTGGCAGCAGCTAAAGGAGTTCTTTCGCATGGCTCGGCGAGAGAAAAGAGAAACAGATATTCCGGTGGAAGAGGGAGTGAAAAGGAAATTCCTGAGTTTGGTGACTGGTGGCAACATGCTGAAAGCAACCCGATTCTACCCAGGGGAATGCTCAGAGAGAATTGTGACGTTGGCAAATGCTCGAAATGTGTTACATTGGGCAACTTATAATCTCCACTGGTCAGGGGTCAACATGACCTGGGCGAGTGGCTGGAAGATTTCAAGCTTCACCGGGTTGAGCCGAATTGTAGTGTCCTTCGAACTTTGCAATGTTCAAAACCAAAAAAATCGGAAGCCAGTTGGCTAACGACTGTGTGCCGAGTTTGGCACTGTTTTGAAGGAGACCAGTGCCAAGAAAGCTGCAGAGCCCGTAATTGGCCGAAAACAACATGTTTTGGCGCAGGTGAACTGTCGGAGCTCGTTGTTTCGCAAGGGGTCACGTGTGCTTACTACTCCATGCCGTTAGTGTGAGTCACATATGCTGTTCATAGCTGGCTGGAGTCATTCCCATGAGCCCAATTCCAGTGCCGTGGACAGCCGCCTTCGATGTCCTGGCACGAGTGCTTCGCTCCGTTCGCACGTCGTACAGAGGCCTTTTAGAGGCCGAGCAAACACATTGCATGTACGCAATATCTTTGTTCGTCACGATTGTTTGCCACAATGACGGCGTTGAGCAAACTTTGGATCCTTACACTGGTCACTGGTCGCGGGTCGAGGCTTTTCTGGAACTGAATGCAGGCAAAGTAGGGCAACCGACCCCCAGGAGTGGAAACTTGTCGCTTGTCCTGGAGCCCGGGTTGTGATTTGGAGGGGGGAAAATCACATGACTTGAGTGGCGCGAGAAAGCCGAGGTCCCCCAGCCAGGTGCCCTTTTACCGTTTCTTTTTGGGGTTTCGGGTTGCCCCTACTAAAATTGGCCACAGAAGAAACAATCGAATCGGCACCAACTTATTCTAACCTCCCAAATCTGGAGGACCTCGGGCGATGAGGCAAGCCAGCTCAGGATGTCATCGCGAAGGAGCAAGCCAGTGAGGGGTCAAGGCGGGAGCCCTGCTTCTCCACCTCTGCGACAGTTGAGTCACGTCCTCAAAACCCGGGGGTTAGTAAGGGACAATCCCAGCCATAAATAGTAGCGGCCGCCTTCAATTCTTTACATTGTTCTGGGACTACCTTTTTCTGGGTTGAGAGTATGACTCAGTTAAGCAAGTTGTTTGTCTGGAATCCCGGGAAAAAGCTACGTGCAACGGAGGGTCAAAGTTTGAAACAGATTCGCAGGGACTCCGAGCAGTTTCTCCTAGAAAGACTGAAGCCAGGCGCTCCTTGCGAGTGAAACAGCAATCCCTAGTTATTTGTGCTTACACTGGCAGCTTGCCTGTCCTTTTGAGCACATTGAGTTCCAGTCTGTAATTCTGCCGGGTCACATCGAACTCGGATGTGTCAACTTGATGATCCCTGACGGATTCTATTGTTTCCTTCCAGAACTGGGCCCCTTTGGAGCGTTTCATGGAACACCATGGGACAACCCAAGTTGTGACAAACCATGCTGACGTGAAGGGAACCACCCATAAACACATGTCATTTGGATTCCAATCTCATGCCGACCGGATCAAAGAAAGGTTCCTTTGCAGACCTAGCTTATGACAGAACAGCTGAACGCGTAGCCAGGTTGAGCTTCGGGCTCGTTGCTCATGCTCGCTTTCTTGGTAGCTGCCAATCACCCATTGACCAACATAATCGGGAGACCAGAGTCGCGCCTTTCGAGTCCAGTTGCTGATCTAAATTGAACTTCATTGTTTAACAAACAAACTTAAACAATGCAACGTCACATAAGAATTGTGTTTTTCATAAAATGTTTTTTGTTTAAATAACCAATGCCAGTTTTGGTTTGAGTCGTGCTCAGGTTTTGAGCGAACCTGAGATTGTGATTCGAACCGCCAGGGTATCCTCAAAGCGCCACCCGGCGCAAGAGACGCGCACGCCTGGAAAGGCGACGCGGTCGCCGCGGGGGGTGGGCTGGTTCTGGCGGATATCATTTTGGGATTCATGAGGTGGTTCCCTATTAGATTTTATAGCCGGTTGGCCATTTAGGTTGCCACTGTTGGTGATACCAAGGGAATTGTCACATAACGAGCCGGGCCCTATGAATGTCTGTTTTCTAGACACCTTAAGTCACTGCCAGCCATTTTTGCGGGTTCTCCAGCAAATGTCATAGCCACAGAACACCTTCGGGCCAATTGACTCCTTTTCTCGGATTCTTAAAGTGAAATTCCACACCCGCTGATAGCCCGGGCTTGAGCATAGGAAATAGCGCTTTCTTTGAGTTTGGTAGCGGAGCGCTTTGCTTCGCCGTTTAGGCTACCTAGGCCAATCCGGCCGGCTGCGCCATTTCGCAGCCACTGCGGCTTCGCCGCTGGTGCATGGGCATTCCGGAGGTGATCTTCACCCACAGCGAGAATCGGCACCTCGCTCTCAAGGAGCTGGGCGGTGCCTTCGTATCACCGACTAAGAGCACGACGCGGCTGGTGAGGTCTAGGCGGCGGAGACCGGGGACCGAGCCACAACACTGGAGGAGGAACCAAGCTGATCCACTTCGCCCTCTTGCTCCACAGCCTCATCGTGGCAAGCATGGCGACGCCATCCGGCAGCGGAGGAATACCACTGACGGAGTTCCGACGAGACCTTCCACCTGGATGGGAACCCGGAGACCCGAACTACTCGCTGACCACCTACTTCCAGCGACTTCGGCTGTGGTACCGCCAGACGGAGGTGCCCGATGAGTGCGTGGGCCCCATCGTGGCCGGGAGGCTCGGGCCACGAGCCCAGAGAGTGGCCTTGGAGCTCAGGCTTGTCAGGCCTGACGGCCAGGTGGACGTGGGCGATGCGGCGCTGGTTCGCCTGAGCGTGGATGAGGTCAGGGATCCAGCTGACCCTGCGCAGATCCTCCAGCATGCAATCCCGAGCGGAGTGCAAGCACTTTGCAATGCGCTCCGAGCTGCTTTTGGCCAGACGGACGAGCAGCTCCTCACGAAGGCACTGGAAGCCTTCTTCGACTTCAAGAGGAAGAACGCCATGACGTTGCAGGAGTTTTCACTGGAATGGGACCTGCGGTTTGAGGAGGCGCAGACTCGGGCAGGCCTGGACATGAACATGGTGGGCCGGTCATACCTCTGGCTGAAGCAGAGCAACATGAGCCAGAAGTTCTGCGATGACCTTAAGCTGCAGGTGCAGGGTGACATGTCTCGTTTCAATGACATCAGGACCCTTGCGCTGCGACTTGCTCACCAACACGCAGAAGGACACAAGGGGGACATCTTGTATGGCGAGGACTCCCGCGCTGAGGAGCACGAGATGGACCCCAACAGCGAGGACTACTTCGATTACCAGGCCGCGGACTCGATGTACTACTGGTACGATGGAGATGATTGGTGGAGTCCTGACCATGACTACCAGGACTACTACGAGGACTACGTCATTGAAGATTGGTGGTACGATGAGTCTGATTGGCAGGAAGATGCAACAGCGGATCAAGCCACATCATGGACGGCAGACTTCGACAAGCCCGATCCGGAGAACCAAGACCCGGGAAACGCGGAGGTCTACGGCAAGGGCTTCAACAAGGGCAAAGGCAACGCAGGCTGCTTCGTCTGCGGATCACGTTGGCATCTTGCTGCAAATTGCCCGGCCAGAGAATCCTTCGGCAAAGGCAAGGACAAGGGCAAGGACAAAGGCAAGTGGAGGCCGAAAGGCAAGGGACGTGGCTACCGACCCAAAGGCAAAGGCAAGGGCAAGTCCAAGGGCAAGTTCAAGGGCAAGTACAGCGGCCCTAGATACTACAACGAGACCAACGAGATGAACCAGGTGAGACACGCCCGAGAAGGACTCACACTGACCACGTCCTCCCCTTCCGGACCACCACAGCCATCATCACTCAGACCTCATGACGCACCACCATCACGCGATCCTCAGCAGAACTTCAAGACCTCAAGTCTCGGTCAAGGAGAACACATGGAAGACCTTTTCGTTCGACCGCGACCACAACCACCATCCAACGTGACAGACGTAGATGCTAGTGATCAGGCAAACAGAGGAGCCAAGAACCTCAGTTTCTCCTTCCACGTTGGCCTCTACAAGACCGGTGGCGACAGCAGCGATGAAGTCTACCACACAGTCGGCGGCCACCGCCGGCGGGGGCTCATCATCGATCCCGGGGCAGCCAACAGCCTGGTTGGCACGGAGACTCTCAGGGATCTGGTCGACCACTGTGACCAGTCCAGTGTCATCAAGACAAGCATGCAGTCAGAAGTCACTGGCATCTCGGGCCAGTCAGATCCCATCTTGGGCCAGGTCACTCTGCCACTCCCGATGTTCGAGGAACTGAGCAAGGCGACATATACCGCGGACGTCATCGGAGGCAATGCCTCTCTGTGTCCTGCATTGGTGGGGAACCCAGGCTTGGTGGGCATGAGAGCCGTGATAGCATCTGCCTGGTTCCAGAACAACGACGGGCTGCTCATACTTCCCAAAGACAAGGAGATGAAAACCTTCAGTCTATACAGGTTGCTGTTGACGGACTCCAAGCACTACTTGTTGCCGGTCGACAACAAGTTGCACTCAGAGAACGAGGAGCACCGCAAGGCAGCAACCTTCCTCTCCAATGTTCAGGAGCAGTCCACGAAGAAATGGTCAGACACGAAGTACAGTGTCTGGCACTCCGAGGGACAGAGCCCAGGACGGAAGCGGAGTGAACCTCCCGAATCACCATCGGGAAAGCAAGAGCACCTCTCCATCGTGGATGGCACGGGCCTGGAACCCGAGGACTACTGGACGGTGGACTTCGGCGACGACGGACCGATCAGAGTCACAAGAGTCCACCTACGTCCGAGGATGGCATTCTTCTTGCCCACGGACGTGGAACTACCACCAGGCGTAGAAGCCGATCTACTACAAGACGGGAGATCTACAGAAGGAGATGAGATACCTCATGAACTACCAGCACAGAAGCAACAGCAACTTCGGAGGCAGTACAAGTTGATGCCAGAAGAGTACTACCAGCACACCGGGAAGAGAGTCATCAAGCCCGACAACTACCATCAGTGGGCGAACTCTCGCTCGCGCAAGAAGTGTCACCTCTGGGAGATCTGTTCAGGAAGTTCGCGACTCTCCCTGTTGGTCCTCATCAGTGGACTGATGGTTGCCTTCCCGGTAGACCTCAGATATGGCTGGGACATTGGCAACAAGCACCATCAGGAACTTCTGCTGCACGCACAAGACCTGATCGATCCCGACGTGATCCTTATGTCGCCCAACTGCAGGCCGTGGTCTATCTCAGCGAATCGGAAGAAGCCAGCTGACCGCGATCGAGATCGAGGAGAAGAATTTGAATCACTGTGTTTCCTTCTTCGGATGGCCCAACGGCAAGCAGAAAGAGGGAAAGCCTTCATCCTGGAGCAACCTTTCTCATCGGCTATGTGGACCCTCTCTCCAATGGCAAGGCTGAGAGACATTGAGGGATGCCGGTCAAGGCAACGAGTTGATCAATGCATGCACGGGGCCTGCGATGAGAACCGCATCCCCATCATGAAGCCGACCGGACTGCAAGCCAACATGGCGCTGCGCAATTCGTGCAAGCGATGCCAAGGACGTCATCGTGATCACTCTCAACTTCAAGGATCAGATCACCTTGGCAGACAGCGCACCATCATGGCGGCGGTCTACCCCCGGGGCTTCTGCAAGGCCATCATAGCCGACATCAAGAGATTCATCGCCAAACCCAGTCGAGGACATGAGGACTACCACATCTACTACAAGTGCGACAGATGTCGACTGGGCAGAGAAGCTCCTCCAGGAACTCAGCACAGTCTTGTGCCCAGAGAGTGCCGGCACGCATCGTCACTACCCACGCCGGAGACCTCCTCAGCCAAGGTCTCCAGGAACGTCACCACTACGCTTCCAGACCTCATGGAACAGTTCAAGAGAGAAGCCATGCGGCATCCCACGACCCACGACATCAAGCTCGCTATGGACTACGAGATGCCGGCAATCGACACGCTCATGCTGAAATTACTCTTCCTGAAGGTAGTGGAGGAAGGCGTGAACGTGATTGAGGCTCACAAGCAGAAGTACCGGCACTGGACGGAAGATCCGGTCTACCTGGCCATCGCTCGTAAGATCTTCAAGAAGGTCTTGGATGTGAAGGGCATCTGTTGTACACTTCACGATGACGAGATCCCTGTTCCAATGCCTTACGTTCGCACGGCATCTGCACCTTCGCGGTTGGTCTTCAAGGGGGACGTCAAGTGCTGGACCGCCCTCACCTTGGAGGACATCAGAACGCTTAGCCAACCGCGGACCAAGATCATGCACGACGGCTGGCTGATAGCAGTCTTTGGATCTGCTCCGAATGATCAAGATCACTGGGAGATCGACGAGGCTGCTGGCATACTACGGAGGCACCACGTCAAGGCTCGTCTAGACATGTTTGTGCCTACCAGCATTGCCTGCCCGATCCCCACGGAGCAGCTCACGGAAGAGAGACGAACTGTCGCAGACCCGAAACTGGTGATCTCCGACACCTGGACACGTAGGACAGTTATCGCCACCTCATGGGCGAAGATCGATGGACCGGAGTAACCGAGTTCAAGGTCGTCCAGGAGAAGGCCGATGAAGAGGAGATCACTGACCCAGTGCAGCGACTGGCGGAGGAATCCGAGAAACAACAGGCTCAGGAGGAGGAAGAAGACACGACCATGGATATCGCAGAGGGCGACGCAGACCAGGGCGTCATCAGGGCACCCATGAAGCCTCTCTACGACTTCAGGCGGGTTCTACACCGGCTTCCACGACTTGCGGAACATGACCATCTACGGGCAGAAGGACTGCTACTTGGTCTTCATGAAAGATTCTGGCACGCCGGAGTTGGTTACATGACGAACCTGCTGATCAGAGCTGGCATGCCCAAATCGGTGATTGGCATGATCTCCAAGTCAGTGGCACAATGCAAGGTATGCAACCGTTTCACACGGCTGCCCAATCGACCACAGGTCAAGACGGGCCATGTGACCACGTTCAACCAGGAGATCCAGGTGGATTTCTTCTTCCTCTGGGAGAACACCTTCATGTTGATCATTGACGTGGCCACCCGGTACAAGACGGCAGTCAGAGTCACAAGCCGGGAGCTGCGTCCTACCCTGAGGACGCTGATGACCAACTGGTTCAGATGGTTTGGACCTCCTAGAACCATCACCTGCGATCAGGAGTCCTGTCTCATGAGTCACGAGGCAGGCGCCGAGATGGAGCGACTCAACATCCGACGGAACCCTTCTGGAACCACAAAGGGATCCGCATCATCCCAGAAGACATCAACTGGATTGGTCGAGAAGCATCTGACGAAGCTGGTCATGCTGAAGACCAAGGCAGAACTCGAGAGACAGGTCGCGGAGGTGGACTACGGCGACATTGCTATGGAAGCTGCCATGGCGCAGAATCTGACCCTCAATCTTGGGGGATATACTCCACACATGTGCGTCACAGGCGCATTGCCCTTTCCGTTCTATGACGTGGACTCAGTGGGGTTGCAGTCTGTTCACGGCACCACAGATCAGATGGCCATCTCCGTCTACGAGCAAGCACTGCGACTCAGACAGGCGGCGCTGACCGCTGCCACGCAGAGCATCATGGAGTCACGTCTGGTGCGGGCTGGACGCACACGACCTCAACAAGTACCTGTCGGAGAGCTAAAGCCAGGCATCTCCGAAGTGGAGTTCCACCGCGAGGGCATGGATGACTTCGGCTGGCGCGGACCTGCTATGCTTCTCAAGATTGGCGACGGAAACGCGATCATCGAGTACCAGGGGAAACCATACCTCATCCCTCTTCGGTGTCTACGGCACTTCCGCGGAGTTTTCTTTGTCAACGAGTTGGAAGACCAGCAGACAGAAATGGACTCCTGGAAAGCACTGAGGAGGATCATGAAGTACGTGGAGAACCTGGTTCCCTACAAGGAACACACGCTCGGCTACATCAACCACCAGAACAAGTGGATCCAGTTGCCCCGCAACATGGTGAACTCGGAACGCGAGAACCTCCTCGCTGACGTCCAGTCGGCGTCCAAGTTCGTCATGAACAACCAATGTCACGGAATGCGAGCAGGAGTTGGGTTGAAGAAGCTGAGTACGCCAGTCGACACACAGGGTGTACTGATATGTTGGCCGAAGAATACCAATCGGTTGACGTTCCTCGAGAATCCCAACAGCAAGACCATGATCGTCAAGAAGCTCTCTAGCATGCATAGAGACGACGTGTGCATGCTCTACCTGTATCATTATGGCGACAAGCAGTTGGAGGAGGAACCACTCAGTCAACCACCGGTGCAACAACCTCAACTACCACCAGCAACCATGAACGTGGACAACCAAGGCGTCCGACGGGCAGACAAGCGGTCGGGTACAGACACCAGAACAGTCACCTTTGGACCTGAGGCGAAGAAGCAGAAGTACGCCTATGTGGACACTGCTGACCGGGTGCAAGAGGCGTTTCTCTCAATGCGCCAGAGACGCTGGGAAACACAGCTACCCATCGAGGAACCATCAGAAGATGAAGCCTCACCTTGCACTACTACCACAGATCCGCCACGACGGGAAATGACCAGCTACAGCACCGAGCACGCGCCGACCATCACCAACCTCTTCACCATGCACGGCACCAACGCCGACGAGTACCACGCTGACATTCGCAAGGGCGGCATCTTCAGAGTTGACGCAAGTACAGACTCTATCCACGAAGACCAGGTCTATGGCATATGGGAACAAGTAGATGCCGCGGACAAGAAAGAGGTTTCACAATTCCTCCAGGAGAAAGCATTCAAGAAGATAAAGCGGTCGGATCTTGGCAAGGACGCCATCCTGATCGACGCGATATGGGTGAGGAAATGGAAGAAGCAAGAAGCTCTTCGTGTGGTGAAGTCACGGCTCTGTGCTCAAGGATGTCACGACCCCTTCAAGCACGAGATGTCGAACAGGAGCACGACGGCCACTCGACTTTCTCAACGGCTTCTGGTCATCACTGCCACAAACAAGCGGGAGCCCATTGAGAGTTGGGATGTGGCTGGAGCGTTCCTGAAAGGACTGACCTACGACAAGCTCTACAAGCGCCTCAAGGAGCTGGGCATCAAGACAGTGGAAAGAGTAGTTGCCATTGTGGTGCCAGCGAATGTGTGGAGACACCTTGGGGAGATGGATCGGGAGTTCTACCTGAAGCCAGGCGAGGAGGACGAGTACGCCCTCATCTGCCTCAAGCCGGTTTATGGACTCTCAGAGGCCCCACTTGCATGGCAACTCTATCTGCATCAGTGCCTAGCGGAGATGGGCGCGGTTCAGAGTGTCTTTGACGAGAACTACTGGGTTTGGCGACAGCCTCAACGAGATGACGCAATCATCCAATGGCCAGTCGCGAGCATTACGACTCACGTCGACGACCTGGCGGCAACGGCAAATCAGAAGTGGCTGGACATCATGTACGCACGCATGGTAGCAAAGTTCGGGAAGCTATCCCGTCAAGTTCTTCCTTTTGGTCATTGTGGATGCACGTACTCACGCATCGCCGACGGCTACAAGATCGACCAAACGGACTATGTCAAGCTGCTGAAGGCGCCAGAGATCAAGAACGAGGTGGCCGACGACCACCCTCTCAATCCGCAGCAAGTTACACAGCTGCGATCTGTCGTTGGTGGACTGATGTGGGCATGTGTGACACGCCCAGACATTATGGCTGAGCTGGCGCAACTGCAGGGCATCGTCACGAGGGCATGTGGACGTCATCTATGTCAAGCCAAAGCCCTGGTGAAGCGAGCGCAAGCAGACGCAGAAGCGTGCCTTATCTACCTACCTCTACCACGGCGGCATCTTCGGCTATTTTGCACACACGATGCCTCCGCTGCAAGCTCAACCAAGAACTATGCACAGGAAGGCGTGGTGATCTTGCTCATGGCAGACAACATCAACATGGAGAAGGAGCACTATGTGGCTGACGACAGCTTCGCTCAGAATCAGCTCTCCGGAAGAGCTCAACTGGTATTCGCCAGCAGCAACAAGGCGAAGCGGATCAGCTACTCCACGAGCCACGGAGAGACTCTGGCGGCTATCAATGGACTGGAGAATGCGACTCTCCTATCCGCGAGATTCTCCGAGATCACTACGGAAGGCCACAAGCCGAGTATACATGACCTACTTGCAGTTCAGGAACATGGAGCACGTCACTTTCCAGTTGACGCTGTCACAGACTGCAGGGACGTCTTCGAGCTGACGACAGGCCATAGGAGCCTTCCTCAGGACAAGAGTCAGAGACTCTACATTCTGGCACACCGCGAAGCACGAGCAGCCGGACGACTCAGACCACGGAATGCATGACAGCGGACAGCCTCACCAAGGAGATGCAATGTCCCAACATGATGGAGCTCCTTACGACCGGCCGGGTGAAGTTCTTCAACACCGGCCACCCCATTGAGATGAAGCGTTTGCCACCTCAGACATCTGTATCCGAGGAGGACTTGCTGGAGGGTGACAACGCCATCATCAGGAACACCGAGAAGGCTATAAGGGAGCTCTACGCGCACTTCGGCTGGGTATGTGCAGCAACTGCGTTCAGCATCAGCAACAAGAAGCCAACGGCACGGGCGATTCTCTTCGCCTCCATGATCACGCAAACAGCTGCACAAAAGACAGAGGAGACTGAAGACTGGATCATGGGCTACTTCATGATCCTCGCAACGATGGGTGTGATCGCCATCACACTCATGCTGGAGTGGTCCAGACAGTCGTTCTGGACATGGACAAGGAAGAGCTCGACGTCGCAGACATCGTCGAGCACACAGACTGACAACAACCACAAGACGCTTTTCAGTGAGCGGGAAGCCGCGAATGCACGACAAGGCCCTAACGGGGCTGCAATTTTCATCACTAGGCATGGCACTAGGTACCATAGGAAAGGGTGCCATCACGCTCAGGGCGCAACGCCTTATGAGCCATGTGGCCATTGCCTCGGCCACTGAGCCCAGGACATGAAGCGGAGTGAAATTCCACACCCGCTGATAGCCCGGGCTTGAGCATAGGAAATAGCGCTTTCTTTGAGTCTTAAAGTCACAGTTGCTGGCGGTGCGAGAACGATCTTTTTGTGGCTATGCACATACACAATTTGACCATATGCAATGACAGCATTACATAGCAGGGCGTTCCCGCATGCAGGCCTTCCGGCCTTTTTCCGGCGCGGGATGAACAAACACTGGTCCATGGTTCAGTTAGGGAAGAGAAGTGGGCCTACGTTTGGGCGCATCATGAAACCACCAGTTTAGAGATGGGTGCCATTTGCTTCTGACGCATGTCCTATGGGTTCATCGCAGACAGTCTTTGCCAGGGATGTAAATCAATGACTGCTTCCACGGTCTGATTCAGCCCTCGGGGCCCTCGGATGCCATCAATTTCTGGGCGGCCTTTGCCACGACACTTTTTCAGGCTCCGGAAGGTGCCCCAATTGGCCTCCGTAAATCTGGGGAACCAAGTCCCACCCTAAACCCTAAACCCTAAACCACTGGGTTTATGGGAGAAACCCGTGGAATCGGATGGTTGGGGGGCACACCCTACCGATGGAGCCCGGTCCCTTTTTGCCGCAAGGTCTTGGCCGTTTGGGGCCACGAGACCGAAGAAGCAGATATGTTCGTGGCTGCCCTAGACCGGGCGGCGGGGGCTTGCTTTGGTTGGTTGGTTAGTTGATGTGGTTTCGTTGGTTTCGTTGTTGCTTGCTCTGTGGTGCTTTTCGTTGGTTTGCTTGTTCAATGGTTTGTTGGCTTATTGGCTGATGTGGTTTTCTCGGTGTTTTTGTTGCTTGCTTTGTATCTTTCGTTGGCTCCTTTGCTTGTTGGCTTGCTGGCTGGCAAACTTGCTTGTGTGTTTGCTTGTCGCCTTTTTTTCTCGAATAAAACAAATAACCGACGGATCTGAATGTATTCAAGTGGAAGCCAAACACAGGGTCCACAGCAATGGCGCAAAAGCCAAGAACAAGGCAACAGATCAAAACCTAAACCCAAACCGGGGCTTTCTGGTTTCCATGCTTCTCTTTCGGATTCGCCCACACTGGCCGCAGGGGCTGGGAGTTTGGCCAGGTTGTTCACGCGATTTACGCTCCCTGCGAAAGTGGGGCTATCATGTTTCTTTGGAGAGGTGATGACTCCTTGTTGAGTATAGTAGCTGGATGCTTTGTTTCTCAGATCCACTGAGTTCAACGACGTGTTTATTCAATGGGCCCGGGTTTGTCGATTTTTTGGTATTGTAGTGGTTAAATACTTATAGGAATATGTTTGGTGGGTGGGGGGTTGTCAAGACTTGTCTAGGACACCCCCACCCCTTTGAAGAGTACCATCCCACCAAAGTCACCAAACATGGAATCTGGCCCGTGAAAATTTGAGGCAAGCCTGAAACAGATGGGAGGTGGCTCCGTTCGTAGGTAGTTAAGACAGAACAGTCAAACCGCGAGGGACTCTTTGTAGGTCCCTTCACCACTCTTGGTTTGGGTTTTAGGGAGTGTAGAACGTCCACTTAACGGAGCGTCCACGGGAAACAGGGTTTTGAACATGGGCCCAAAAGGCAGGCCAACAGAAACAGCTATCATGTGTGGATCACCAAGAAGACTTAAAAGGGGAAGCCCCTGGGCTTAAGTCTGGGGGGAGATCAAGACGTGGAACCCTGGCCAAAAAAAGAAAGCGGTGCAAATGTTTTGGGCCAAGTGAATTTGAAGCACAAGACCCATCCTTTGTGGTTCCTGTCCATGCTCCTGTTCCTGATGCCGAATCCCAAGCCTTGAGTCCTTGAGGGGAGGGCTTGTGGCTGCGGTTGTCAACACCGTTTTGGGATCCCATGTGAATTCACCACCCATCTTAGAACCTATTTTAGTGGGGATTGGGATGTTCACTGGGGGCTAACCGGGCTTTTGACCCATGGCCATGTGCAACCTGAAGGGCCAAAAAACGACTCTCTCACTGAAAGAAGCGGTAGGTGCCCTACTTCTCCAGCAAGCCTTTCAACTTTGACGGAGACATTGTGAGGCCAGCCGGGCCGGGGCGCCTCGAGTGAGACAGTCACGAGTCACGACTGACTGAAGCACCCTTTTGGGGCTTGCAACGCCTCACTCCCTGAGTTGCTTGGGCTTTTTGGGCATTTTGGGAAGACCCTGTTTTGGGGGGCAAAAACAAGTGAGATTCCCAGCTCAAAGCGGGCTCAACCGCAAAGCCAGTCACTTCTTGCCCTATGGCCACATCATCATAGTTCCACTTCGTTTGGTTGCAGGCGCAGGCGCTGCACGCGTGCAGCAGTAGAAACAGTGCACTGCAGTTGGCAGGGGTGTCCCTGTGACGCACAGCAACACTGAACGCCTTTGCTTTCCTGCGCAAGGCGCCAACTGGTGGCCGCTAGCATGAGGAATTCTCAAGCATCCGGCCGCCTTTTCTGCCTTTCAGAGAAATAACATGCCATGGACACAAAGGTCACACCATGAAGGAAGGGGAGACATAGTTCCTGGAATCTACAAGAGGCAGCGTCAAAATTACAGCTGTTGTGCTTGGTATTTAGGGTTTCATCGATATTGTTGAAATGCACAGCACCTTGACAAACGACGGGAGACTCGCAAGCTCGATGCCCCCCGAATGAAGTTAGATTGTTGGAAAGCAATAGGGGACTCGCAAACCAGGCAACGACAACACCGCATTTAAGCAATGTTGACATCAAGTGTCTACATTTCTATGATTCTCAGCACAATCTTCAATAGTGAAAACTGAAAAAAAAATCAGGCAGCATTCCGTTTGCACGTAGAACACATGCACAACTATGTCCACATTCACACATCGCGTAGAATATCACATGCGCAAATGCATCAGCCAAGGCGTCCCTCATGTCCTTCTAGGGGTACCTTCCGCATTCTTTCCCGGGATCCTTCTTTCTAGAAAAAAAAAAAAAAACGGGGAAACCGTACATATTTTTTCGAGAAACGAAGGATGGGTTGAAAAGACTGGTTGCCAGGGCCCATTTTCTAGAACCTTGCAGAAGAGGATGGGCGGAGCAGAGCAGAGTTGCAAGGGCTCAGGTTTCTAGAATAAAAATGCACATCAAAACTGCACACCTCAAGAAATGCACTTCTATTTGTTTCACCTGAAAGATGCATCCGCCAAGAGGAGGTTTGTCCGGGGCCAGGCTGCGGCATGCCCTGGGCGTGGTGAGCCATCGCGGCCACAAGCCGGACATGCCGAACCAGGCGGTTTGGTCTTTGGGGCTTTGGGGGGTTGGGAGTCGTTTCCGAGGGGTCCCGTTGTTGGTTTTTCTTGTTTTTCCTCCTGTGTTTTCCTTGCTTTTCATTGTTTATTGTTTGTTTTCTTCTTTTGTTTCATTTTTTGTATTTTTTTTTACCATTTTTCCCAATTTTTTTGGGGATTCGAAGACGACGGAAGCCAGCGGAACTCGCAAAGGCGAGCCAGGCGTATCAGGCACGCGGTTTGGGGGGATTCGTTTCCAAAAGGGCCCGTTTTCTTCGGAGTCCAGGACGACGGAAGCCGGCGGAATTCCTCAAAAAGGGGCGATATAGCCTCCTATCAGGCGTATCAAGTTCTCACGCACTTGTTTCCGAAGAGAGAAGGGAGAAGGTACCCTAGCTGTTAAGATGGATTCTGGGGGAGTTGTTTTGGAAGACCATGGAAGACCATGTTCCCTTTCAAGGGAATGTTTGATGGGTTCCATGTTAATGGGAGGGTAAGCCCTGTGAAGTCTAGCTGCGGAAAATCAAAGTGGATCCCTGAGCTCCCTGAAGGCTCCTTGGGATTCCCTTGGATTGAATTACAGCAACAGTCAAAGGGTTTGGCTACAGGAACATCTGCAGAAAATGGCCCCACCCTACGTAAGCTTTTTCCCTGCAGACTTTCCTGTAACACAACCCTTTTGGTTGGATCTCCCAGGATCAACTGATGAACCCATTGGTCAAAGTACGAATCCTTAAAGCGAACCGCCCACATCCCACTGGCAAGCCTCAGTAAACTACTGCACAACTCACCCCCCCAATGTCGACCCTGGATAAATCAACCTGTTCTTAGAGCACCAGGTAGCAGGCAAGTGTTTGTTGGGTCTGTCTTGGGGTAAGAAACCCCACAACCTTTTTTGCAAAAGGCCACGTTGCACAAGGAGACGTCGCACATTTGTCAAAAAAAGACTACATCAATGGACACGTGATGAACATGTTTTGGTTTGCAATGGTCCCATGTTTGGCGTTCCAGTTTTGCACACTCAGGGCTCAAATTTCTGCCCATGTATTGCAAGTGAGGAACCCAGTGGCAAGGGGACTCCTTTCGATCATTTAAAGGACACCTAACCGGAACCAATACCAACTGCTTGGCAGACCATGTTGAATAACTCAATCATGTTATTTCTCATCGGTCAGACGCTTCCTGTTCGATTGTTTCTTTTACAGGGACAAGCCCTGGCCAGTCGACCCCTTGAAAGTGGAGCGAGGCGTGTGCGTGCGGCGGGGACTGCGGTGCCCATGTTTGCCGTGTTTTGCCGTCATAGAGGGGATCTCGTTTTGAGGGTCCGGGGTCAAGTCAGTTTGTAGAGTAAATCCTTGGCCATGCTCGGAAGGCCAATAATCCTAGTATGTTCAACTTGTTTGTGGAATTGAACCTGCACTTCATGGCAAAAAATGTCCAGTGAGTTTCCCCAGGTGCGTTGTTTTGAGGCCGGCACTTAAAACCGAAAGCCTTCTCGGAGAGGCCATTGCCATGTTGGGATGGATGAAAAGCTGCCTCGGACAGACTGAGGATGAGTTCTTCGTGTTGGTGCAGAAGGAGTCGGTGCTCATGGGCGTCTTCGACGGCCACGGCTTGGACGGCCACAACGTGGCGCACTTTGCGCAGGCGATGTCGGTTTGGGGGGAAATGAGCGAAGAAGGAAAGGTTATACCCTCCCACCAGAAAACATGGAAGTGCACAGACCCCTGTATATAGAAAGATGACTTTCCTCTTGGAAAGTGCCTCTCTTTTTTTTGGACTCCATGTTAGTTGGTGGGATAGGCTTCCTTTGGGTGTCCCTTTGAAACTCCGAACCGGATACTTTGAAGACAAGACATACTTATTTAGACACCCACAGCTTTGGACACCATCTCGAACGGGTCCCTTTACTTCCCGTGGAGAAAGACATAAACCCGGCAACAACACTTTGCACCCTTATAGTATGGGTTAACAAGTAGGAGAAGCAGTCAGTATTGCCCTGCTTTCTTGGGGGCTCCCCCGTATGCCTGCTCCGCCCAGCATCCGGGTTAGTTCGGGGAGTACCTAGATGTGTCAAAACCCTTAACAAAGTAAAATCGGAATCGAACTCGGTGCGTTTGGAAAAAATGGCCGCGGTCAAAACGCGACTGGACAGCTCATGTTAGCCTGGAAATGGGCGAAGCAATCTGCAGGCTTTGCCTGTTGACGCCTTTCTGTTGAAAGCGAAGGGACCCCCCTGACAGCGTAGAAGCCCTTTTCCGAGGCAGACTGCTTTGATTTTCGCAAAGCGGGAAGCAAAGCTGGGAGCACGCAAAAGCTCGGGCCGGCTGATTTCTTGAATTGTTGCAAGCAAACCAGAGACCGCGTATGTGGTGTTGACGGTTCTTATGGAACGCGTTTGACAACTAAGGGGCCCTGCAAAGGTTTTTAAAGAAAGCTAAACATGGTTGTTGTTGGGGAGCATTTTACATTTTTGCTTATTGTGGTTTAGTGGTTGAAATCCCCACTCAACTGCTAAAATCTGAAAATGTTTGCTCCCCTTCCAATGTCAACCAAGTAAAGGGTCCTGAAGTGATCCTAAACCAACACTTGGACGCGGTAAATTTCACGCTGCCCAGATGACTTCGGAACTTTCTGCCAGAAGCCGGTGGTGAAAGCTGGGTATCTGAAAGACAAGCAGGCAAACCCAGCGAACGGGACCCAGCAATTCAGGCAAGCGGTCGAAAGCCCGGCGGCACGTGTTTCCTGTCAAGCACCAGGCGGTGTCTGCAGATTGTCAAAACGGATTGTTCTTCTCTTGGCCCGCTTGAACCCGCTTCATTTGCTTAAGGTGAGTTTCTATTTTTGAAGGGAAATTGTAACTACTCTTGTGTTCTCTCCTTTTGGCACCAACAACGACAATGGCATTCCTCGTTGGGCGATAACAAAGCCCCCTACCCCAAACCCCCCCCTCCTACCCCCCTTACCCAGCCCCCCACCCCCAACCCCCCACCCCCAACCCCCAACCCCCCCAGCCCCCTAAGCCCCCAACCCCGGCAGAGAAGATTAGCATGGCCGCTGCGCAAGGATGACACGCACAAATCGAGAAGTGTAACAAGTTTTTTGCGTTGACAAGCTCCCCAACCCCCCCAACCCCCCAAAGCCCCCTACCCAGCCCCCCACCCCAACCCCCAACCCCCTCAACCAACCCCTAACCCGGGAGAGACGTTTCACGCTAGGAGCATCTGCCCAGAAGCATCTTGGAGCGCCTCAACGCGGGCCAGAGCTGGGAGCCCGCAGTGCGCAGCGCGGCGCGCGGCCCAGCTCGCCCAGCTCGCCCAAGTGACCATAGCCCATGGGCCATGGGCATCGGAAAGGATAGGAAGAGGGAGGCGTTTCTGTTAGTGGGGAACATGCAATCAAGAAGAAAGAAAAGCTTGTGTCAGATGGGTGCCTAAATATGATGATTAGCTTGTTTTTCCATGGGGAATATGCAATCAAAAGAAGCTTGTGTCGGATGGGTCCCCAAGAATATGATGATGAGGTAATACGAGTTGTTACCTTGATCGAACATGGCGATAGATTCAGATAGGAGGCTGGGTAGAACGTGGAGGAACTCTGGGAATGGTGATATGGGCACCAGGTAGGATGAGGATTGTGAGGATTAGGAATCAAGCAAGGATCAAATAGCAATCGTTTGGCAATATGGTAGCATGTGGTGTATGAGGCAAATATGGTAATGTGTTATGGCATTGGTACGAAAGATGGGGATGAGTGCGGAATATGACAATATGAGAGTTGCATCCCGAGAACAAGCGACCCCGACGAGAGAAATCCTGGCCACGCTGGTCTAGGCGCCCAAAGGCGGGAGGGCAGGAGGTGTGCGGAGTCTTACGGCCCGTAGATGATATTATGCTGATATCTTAGCAAGGTGAGTGAAGCAGATCGGTAAATTGCAAGCACGCAGCACTGATCTTCTTCAAAGGTGTGATAACGAATGCTATCAGCTTTCATGTCTTGGCTACCGTCTCATATTGTTTCGCTCGGGAACTGGATAGCCGTGCTTGACTCGGTGGTTTCACCCGATGGCCGGGTGGTCAATTCGGCTTCGGTTTTTGTAGGATCCGGGTTCCAGAACTCAGCAAGCAAGCCAGCCAGCAAGCGAGTACAGAAACAAACAAACACACAAACAAGCAAATAAACAAGGAAACAAAAACATAAAGCAAGATAATAAGCATAAACAAATACATAATTAAACAAAATATGACAAGAGAGAGAGAGAGAGAGAGAGAATGAGAGAGAGCTTGAGGGAAAGAACTGAAGAAAGAATCAAGAAGGCACAAAGAAATATCGGGCAAACAAAACAAAGAAACAAGCAATCAAGCAATCAATTGCTTGCTTGCTGCTTGCCTGCTTGCCAGGCAGCCTGCCTGCCTGCCTGCCTGCCTGCCTGCCTGCCTGCCTGCCTGCCTGCCTGCCTGCCTGCCTGCCTGCCTCCCTGCCTGCTCCCTGCTTGCTTGCTTGGCTTGGCTTGGCTTGGCTTGTCTTTGCTGTGCTTTGCTTTGCTTGCTTGCTTTCTTGGTTGGTTGGTTGCTTGCTTTTGTGTTTGTTTGCTCAGTTGCTCAGTTGCTTGGTTGGTTGGTTGGTTGGTTGGGTGGGTGGGTGGGTGGGTGGGTGGTTGGTTGATTAGTTAGTTGGTTGCTTGCTTGTTTGGTTGATGTCTGCTTGCTTGCTTGCTTGCTTGCTTGCTTGCTTGCTTGCTTGCTTGCTTGTTTGTTTGCCCGGTTGGTTGTGTTTGTTTCGTTGTTTGTTTGTTTGTTTTGTTGGTTTTGTTTGTCGTGTTGTTTGGTGTATTTGTTGTGGCTTGTGTGCCTCTTGTATCTTGTGAGTGTGTGGGTGTGGGTCTTGCGTTTTGTGTGCCTCGTGTGTGTTTCTGTGATGTTGTCCTGCTTGTATTGTTTACTTTATCGTAGTTGTATGCTTGCTTGTGTTTGAATTTGTGTTTGCTTGGGTACCTTTGCGTGTGCGCGGGGGTTCCCAGGCAGTTCGCCTTCTTCAGGGCTCTCTGTTTTCCCCGTTTGGTGGTGTAAGCATCACCCTTTAGGCCAATTGCAAAGGAGCTTCCTTTTTCTGGGGTCATTATTTTGGCGGTTTCTGGGGGTTCTCAAGGTCAGACAATGGGGTTGTTTCCCTTAAACTGACCACTTAGTGGGTGACTTTGATCATTGTAAAATAATGAGTATTGTACAAGGAACTTTGAGGGTGACTTTAAATGGGTGACTTTGAAAATTGTAGAACTTAGAGGTTGTGTTTCTTCTTTGTTTGAATAGATGTTTCAAGGGGGAAATAGGAAAATCCCGGTTCGTCGCCGCGGGCCCATGTCGCTTTTCGCATCTGAGCTCAGGTTGGAACGCTGAACAGCGAATGTTCGCAGGACGAAGAGATGGCGCAGAAGGCGCCTGCGTCGAGTCACGAAACATCCAAAGATGCAGTGCGCCTCCAGTGGATTTTGTTTGGTTCAGGGCGTTTTGGCGAGAAAAAATGCAGTTCAGATTTTTGTTGTTGTTTTGTTTCTCTGAGGGAATCAGTTGAGATGAGGCACCTAGGGTCATCCAAAGCTCAGGTTCCTTGGGGAGCCAAAGGTGAAGTTTACGGCATAGTTACAATCATGAATAGGTGCGGATATCCGTTGAGGTTGGACACACGGTTGTTGGGTAGACACGGATTTGAAGGAATGGAAGTTGAGAGCACCATCTTTCAGCTCCTCCCATGCCATAGGCGTCCTTTTTAGGTTAGTTTGGTTAGACATAGATGGCATTGGTTTGGGGTGTTGTTCCATTTACCAGGGGAAGCCCATCTGTTTTTCCAAAAAGACACCTATGGGGCTCGGATGTTTTTGTTTCTTTTGTCTTTTCTGCCAGGGAGTTGAAACCAGGGCCACCTATGTTCCGAATTCGCGTTTGTGCTCTGTGCTCGCGCTTCGAAGCGGGAAGTGGCAGGCTCAGCTCTCTGGTACCACGATGACCGTCCTCATGTTAGACAGCACGGCGCTCGGAGCCCGCAGGACCGCAGTGCCGGGCACGGGGGTCTCGATAGGATGTATAAAAGTGGAAAGATGAAGAGAGCCCGAAGTTATGTTTCATGCGCCTTTGGATCTGGATATGTTTCAGATAAAATCAACATAGCTTTTAGAATATCTAACTTTGTTAGGACAATTATTGGGTCGAGAATGAACAAACAACGAGTTTCAGCGCAAGCGTTCACACGGAGTTGACTCGAGATATTTTCCAGAGCTGAGGACTTGATTGGAAACGCAGACATGCGTTGCTGGAGGGAAGCTCCGTGGGAGAAAGTTCGGAGGAAGGCCAGTGTTGTCGTTCCAGTTGCTGAACTGAACATATGTTCTATTTATTCTCCTTTGTTGGTCAAAGTAAATCAATTTATCCCTGCCGGACATGTTGTCCTACTTTTTCCAGGGTGCGTGTATAAGCAATTGGAGGTTTCTCGATGTGTCATCGGAGTTGGAGCTCAGGGCGCTGAGGCGAGGTCGCTACAAAGTTCCGGCGCTCGTTATCGTTGTTGCTCATGGTTATTATGGGGATGGTTGTTATAGTGATGGTTATTATGGGGATGGTTGTTATGGTGATGGTTGTTATGGGGATGGTTGTTATGGTGATGGTTATGTTGAAGGTTGTTATGGTGATGGGAATGGTGACGACGGCGGCGGCTACAATGATATGCCTTTCTGCACGCACGTTTCTTGAATTTATTGGTTGGTTAATGCTTATTCATGTATCCGCGCTCATGTTAGCCATGTTTGCTGCGCCGATCGGCCTATAATGTTGGCGTTAGTTGATTGTAAGCTAACATTTTTGGTCGTTTTGGTTTGCGATCTGTGAGCTTGCAGTAGGAGCGGTGTTTTGCGTTGCACGGCCAATGACACAGCGACCTCAACCATGTCCACGTCGCTTCACGCAGCCTCACCGGCTTTGCTCATGTAAATAGTGCCAGATGGCGCCGATCCTTTCCAAGGAGAGGCTTCCTGCAAAGCTTCGTCCCGAAGATGCCGCAAAGGTGGTGGCGCAAAAGGCGCGGCCCTTCCTCGATAGCTTCCTGAAGCTTGTCGAGGTGACCATCCAGACTGGCGCCGTGGTGGTGGACGAAGCCAAGCTGGCAGCAGGCAGTTTGGGCAGCCTGGTCGACAAGTGCATGCACAACAGCGCTTCGCTGCTGCAGGCCTTGTGCTGTATCGACCTGGAGAAGTTCACCAGGGGCCCGGAGAAGCCAGCTCTCCAGAGCCAGCTGCCGGTGATGTTTGTGCTGGGCTTGTTGGCGATGCTCTACAGCGCCTTTGTCTTTGCGTACATGCCGGCCGCGGGGCTTTCCCTGAACAGCGCAGCTCAGTTGTTCAGTGGCACCAATTCTTTTTCCAACTTGTTTTTTTGGGTGGCTGCCCCCTAAAATGGTCCAAGCCCCAAAATGGGTTTCTTTTTTTCCAGGGTCACTGAACAACTGAGGCAGAGAGCATCCTCTTCCACGCCTTCGTGTTCCTGACGCTCGCCAGCTTCGCGCAGGCGGCGAGGACCGACCCGGGGGACATCCCGCAGAGCCCTGAGTGGCGCGACCGCACTCGGCCACCCAGATGTACACACGAGCAGAAGCGCTTCAGCGAGGAAGCCCGCTGGTGCCGGAAATCCCAGGCCTACAAGCCAGATCGCGCCCACTTTTGTCGGGCCATGGGCCGGGTAGTGTTGCGCATGGATCACCACTGCCCCTGGCTGGGGAACACCGTGGGCTGGGCCAACCACAAATACTTCTACCTGTTTCTGACTTATGCCAACATGGCTTGCGGCTTGCTGGGGCTCAATGTGTTGGACCTCTTGGTGCATGCCACTTTGCCCGCCCTCACCACTTTCTTGCTCATTGGCACCGAAGCATTGACCTTCTTGCTCTCGACGATCCTGGTCCCCTTCTTGCTCTTCCACACATGGCTCATCATACGCAACATGACCACCATCGAGTTCTGTGCTTCTTTTGCCAAGACTCCTGACGAGAAGCCGTATCTTGGTGGCTCCCAGCCATCCCTTTAGGTTATTAGCCTTTCAGTGCTTAGTGGTAGTTTCCATTTAACCCACTAAAGGTTAAACTTTTAGCCGGGATCTGACGGCAGCTCAGGTATGAGAACCCATATGACGTGGGCATTTACCGAAACCTCTGCTCCGTCCTGGGCAGCTCGCCCCTGGTCTGGTGGGCTCCTGTCGGAGGACCTGCCGGCGATGGCATCAGCTTCCCGCGGCGAGGCCTGCCAGAGTACTACATGCTCTCCGATGAGGAGGATCCGGAGGCGGCACATCCAGCGGGCCCATCAGAAGAAGGCAGCGACGCAGGCCGCGAGGCCGAGGTGAGGGAAGGCCCCTGCAGCTTCTTCGTGTGGGTGGATGCAGCAGAGTTCACGGATGACTTGAAGGTTGGTTGTGAGGTGATCCTGGAGACTGCGGAGGATGCGGCCCTTTCTGCATGGCATATGCTTTCACAATGCCGTGGTCGAAAGCGGAAGTCTTCGCGGCTTCAGGCGCGCTCAGAACAGCGAGTAGTACGACTCCACGAGGACAGCGAGAATTCGAAGTCTGAAGGTGAAGCCTTCTTCGGCTGATGGCACAGCGTGGAGGTCAGAACACGTCAAGCTGCGCTCATCCAGCGGCAACGGAAAAGAAAACAACATGTCCACGGTTGCTTTCTTGGAAGCAGGGAATTCTATCAGGCTTCTCTTGGGGGCGGGCATTGTTTTCCTGCGTTAAGAACCACCCCTGCGGGAGCGCTTGAGTTATCTTCCGATCATTGTTTGGCGTTGTTGTCTTGCTGAGACAAAGGCACATGAACAGTTTGTTCCAGATATGTTTTGGTGTTCTGGTTTTGCTGAGTCACTGAAACAACAAAAATGGGTGTGTCTTTTTTATGGTACCTTGTTTTGAGATGCCTTTAAAGGGCAACAATTGGAAAACCACCCATTTTAAGAGACAACCAAATGAACATGCTTGAGGCCCCAGCCCCAGCCTTTGGCGCATCCGTTGCGCGCACCTGGGAGACTCCATCGCGGCGGGGGGGGGGGTGGGGCGTCGACTGACTGGACTGCTTGGGGGCTGAAGGTCGACCCCGGTTTTTGGGGCGAGGAAACCCAGTGATCCATTATGAATTTGAGGTCCCCCCCCCATCATCGGCAGTCATCCTCATCATCTTCCTCATTAATCTTCTTAGCCAGAAGGCCAGTCGGTTACACTGTCCGGCGGTTTAGAACACCCCCCCCCCCCCCAAGAAGTGAAGGACCCCCTCAAACGACCAGGGCCTTGTTCCTTCAGGGTTCCCATAAACATGAACTCGGGGAAGCCAAAGCCACTCGGTCCCTCCAGAGACAAACCCGGGAAGGACTGGTCTCAGGACTTCAATGTTGTGGTCGGAAAGCAGAACATCTGGTTTTGTTGGGCGCAGGTGGCAAATGTTTGTTTGTCCCTGCTGAAAATCCTGTCACCAGCAGATGTTTGCTTCCAATGGGGCGCGCCACTTCTGTTGCAATACCACTCGGCCTGGACTGCTTCATGCATTTGTGCGGAAACACCAAGCGCTGGTCCTCGTTTGTTTTTGCGTCGCAGAGGTGTTCAGCAGGCGAGGGATTCGAACCCCCAAAACTGGTGGCTTTCCTTCTCGAGGTCTTTCAGTAGTGCCCTTTTACCGATTCTTTTTGGGAGAGGGTTCCCCTACTAAGATAGACTACAGAAAAAGTTGGCACATGTATTCTAGCCTCTCTACTGGAGGACCTAGTTCTGGTTTCCCTTTGGACGGTGCAGGGGGCCCCCTGCGCCAGGTGCTGGCGAGCAGGCCGAAGGGAGGCGGCGCTTGGCAAGTCACGCAGCTCACCGAGATCCACCGGGCGGATCGACAGGACGGAGGTCTTCGGGGACTTGATTGGACGTGTTGGCTCAAAATTAATCAGGAGGCGTTACGCAGGTTTTGGTCCATGTTTCCAATTACCAGAGTTCCATTTCATTTTGGTACCGGTTTTTTGAGCCACAGCCATATGGTCATGAGACTTTGGTGACACCTATATGGCTGTGGTGGTCAAAACCGTTTTGGGATCCCATTTTGGTTGGTAGGTGAATTCACCACCCATTTTAGAGCCTATTTGTGTGGGGATTCGGATGTTCACTGGGGGTACGGGCTTTTGACCCATGGACATACGCATATATACTACACATACATTCACACCTTTTTGTGCGTACATTGTGCATCTGTATATATATATATATTATAATAGGTGTGTGTTCCCTGTGGGAGTTGGCTTTCAAGGAACACGCAAGGAAACAACTCGCTTTGCGGGTTCCCCTATGTTGAGACATCCTCTGATATGTATATAGAACAGCATACCGGGCAAGCTCGCTCCTTGACCCGCGATGTTTGATTTTGACTGCAAGAAACTGTTAGGGGACGGACATGAGGGTACGGACGCTTGGTTTTCTTTGTTACCCATCTGGGCATATCCTGAAAAAACGGGGGAAATTGAGCCTTCCTGTTGATTTGCTTTCAACCTGCGAAGTGGGGTTCCCTTTTTTGGGCCATGGGCTTGCATACACGGACCCACCGACAAGCATGTGCTCCAGGACGAGTCCGAGCGGATCACCAAGGCTGGCGGGAAAGCAACCCGGCACTCGACGAATCGGTTGAGCTTTTGGCAAGGGATCTGAATGAAGTGGAATGGTCGGTGGTCAATCCCCGTGTCAATGTCCACAAGGGTCACGAGTTGAATGGCTTTGTATCGAAATAGGGAAGCCCCTTGCCCAAAGCCAATGGGGTCAGCTCTCCTTTTGGATTTCGTTCTTTGCAACCACAGCAAGGGTATCCTCAAAAAAGACACCGCCCCCCCTTCCGTTTTCTCTTACCTTTGTGCTGAGGTAGTGCACTTCGAAGGGGAGCCGCCGCGCCTGGTGGCAGATGAGTGGTGCGCCATGGGGCCGTCGTGTTTCCGACAACAGAAAGGAACCCCACTGGTGTGACTCAAAGTGAAGCAAACAATAAAATATACATTCTATAACTGGGCCTAACTCTAGTCATGGCCAGTTCAAGGGAAAGCAGAAAGGAACGCAAGCGTTCGTGTGTAAAGCTTCTTGTTCCAGACACCTGCCGCCAATTCGCCAATTCGCCAATAGGGCGCCACGGTTTTGGCACGCGGCCATGTCATGGCTTCAAGGGCGCTAAGGCTCCCAAGGCCAGAGCCAACTCAGGCAATGCTAGGGCGTGTACAACGTTACGGATTCCTCTCGAAAGCATTCCAAACATTGTCCAAATCGAAACACGCGTTAAAGTTACTAGCCTAGAAGAGAACATCAATCGCGATGGATGGCACGCAGGAGCCACCGATGGGAAGTCATGAGTAGTGAGGTCGTAGTGTGTTTTGCTTACCCTTGGGGTTGTTCCAGGAGGACGGATCGCCGCTGTGACCCTATTATCATGCAAAGAAAGAGGGTTAACCTCCCGCGGACAAATCACCAAGATTCCCTAGTTTCCCTCCAAACATGAGCTACTTCTTGTGCAAAAAGGGGGATGAAGCAATAAGTAACAAGTAAGTACTTGGTGCAACATATCCCATGCTGTTTGATTTATTCCAAAGAACATTCAGTAACACACACACACACACACACACACACACGCAGACAGACAGACAGACAGACAGACAGACAGACAGACAGACAGACAGACAGACAGACAGACAGACAGACAGACAGACAGACAGACAGACAGACAGACAGACAGACAGACAGAAATACACACACAGAAATACACACAGAAATACACACAGAAATACACACAGAAATACACACAGAAATACACACACAGAAACACACACACACACAGAAATACACACAGAAATACACAGAAATACACACAGAAATACACACAGAAATACACACACACACACACAGAAATACACACACAGAAATACACACACAGAAATACACACACAGAAATACACACAGACACAGACACAGACACAGACACAGACACAGACACAGACACAGACACACACAGACACACACATGCACCACCCCACAATGTGTGTGTGTGTGTGTGTGATTTTTTCGCTCGAAGGTTTCAAGGGAAGCGATGCGCGGCAGGTGTTTGGCGGTGAGTCGGTCCTGGGGAGACTTCCACGCCGCCAAGTGCGGCCTGTCCTGCGAGCCCGAGGCTCTTTGCTGGGCACTAAAATGCCCACCCCCTCAAATGTCAAGGAGACTCCCCAAACCCTCTACCCCCCACCTCATTGAAAGACTCAAACAGATCAAAATTAGAGATGTTGATATTTTTTGTGGTGTTTGTGGTTGGGTATGTTTCGAGTGTCCCAAAAGAAACTAAAGGGGGATGTGTATTTTCCTCTTTTGTCCAAAACCCGTGTTTAACATCCGTTGTTTACTCAGGCTGGGCAACCACGTCTAAAGTTCCAGTCTGCACTTTGCTTGCCTTTGGTGGACTTTTTTTCAATCGAACACGGAGTTGTTCGGCGCAGATCCAGCTGCCTCAGATGAAACGATCCTGGATTGAATGCTTTTTGGGGATCAGGAATCAATCACAATCACCCAGCAGAATCACAACATGAACGCATCTGACGCGTGGCAAGGTTCCATTTCGCACTGGCAATCAGTCAAGGTCACTGGCGGAAGATTAAGTTTTCTGTTTTTCTCGAGAAAGGTCTTGACGCTCTCTCTTTAGAATTGGATAATGCTACCGGTGCTGTTGCCTTTGAGGGTGTAAATCACTTTGGAGATTCGGACACACTCCTAGACTCCTCCGTTCTTCGGCAACAACGTCGCAGTGTTATTATCAAGAGAGAACTTGAGGAGTTGGCGCATGGAGTAGACCCTACAGTTCTTGCCACGAGGATGCGGCCATTCTTAGTACTGGGCTTAACAGGACTGTGATGTGTTTTCAAAAAACCCTTGCTAGCTGGTTGCCAGCATGTCTTTTGGCAATGCCTTGTTTGGCAATACGTTTGGCAAACATGGCAGACACCCTGGCTATCTTGGCAAGCGTGGCCACAGTACTCAGTACACACGAGCCATTCTTTGTCTGCAGCAATGATGCGCCTATCCACATCAAGCAGGCATGGGCGCAGACCCACATCACAGGAAAAGGAAGAGCGCAATCATGCTCTCTTCGCAGTTAACGGTACATTCGACACAAAGGAAGCTCGCCCTGCGGACGTGTACGAGCTGGACTGGACATGTCCCAGGACAACACTTGGAGGGGAGAGAGCCCACTTGGGTAGCTTCTGTTTTGTTTTTTCCATTCTCACACACAATGCTAGGGCCATCAAAAGCACTGTGAGTGAAATCACTTGGCCATTTCGGATTTTGTTCAGACGCATGCGGATTCTACCAAGGTGAGTGCGAGGCAAACACCCCAGTAAAGCCCTTGTCACTAGCTTGTGACTCGTATCGCTCGCAAACGTCCTGACAACTTTACCGCAGAACCTAATGTCTCTTTGGCTCCAAACTCTCAGATCAAAAGCGCCCTTCGTCTTGCCTTTGTGCACTTTGAAGACGCCATTAGACTTTTACCCGCAAGTCCTGGACGGACAGGCAAGTTCTTTCGTCCTGCCATCATCATGCATGGACCCCGGAGCGCAAGTTGAACGTACCCGTGTAGCCTTTGCGGCTATTCTTGCAGGCGTAGGCAGCGCTTGTTGCTACCGCTTCAGCAGGCAAAGTGTACGTCTACCTCACAACACTTACGGATGGCTAATGTGCTTTCCGCTTTCGCAAGTTTTTCGAAATGGGTTGAATGTCGTGAATTCTTTGACACAGGTGTGCGGGAAGCAAACATCACCCCTGTTTTCCCATCGCTCGGGGCCGGAGTGCCCCAGGCCCGCTGGACATGGGACCCGAAGCCCATGAACACGACTCGGCTTGTCTCGCCAGAATGTGAGCCAGGAGATCAATCATTGGGCGCGTGTTTGTCACACCATTTCAGTCCGTGCCATGAGGCCAGTTGCCATTGGGTCGGTTTTGATGGTATTTTAGGCTTGCTCTGCACTTTTGCGACACCCCAGGTAATCTGGCATTTCTGGCCCCCAACCAAAACAATGCAAGGTTCCCTGAAGAATCTACAAACACCTGCCCTTGGCAAAATTGGTACTTGTCAAAATTGGCGGACCCACAAATGATTTCCTTTTGGTTTCGCTTTGAACCAACCTCAAAAAGGGTCTCCTCAAAACAACGCGCCCAAATGGCCATGATTTTAAAGAGGACACCTTGCCCAAAACGGTTAGTGAACATCAATTCCCAAAGAGCCCCCGCCCAAAAAAAACAATAGCCCCAAGTGATGTCCCCGTGTCAGTTCAGCGTGCGGGATTTGCCCACGGACTGCGAGTGCTTCGTCTTGATCTGCTCCGATGGTGTCTGGGACGTGGCGCCCGGCATCGTTGTTCGTTCGCTGGATGCCGTTCCGGTTTTTCGTCTGGTGCACCGAGAAAGTTGAGGGCACAATTCCGGTATATGGCTGTGGGTCAAAACCAATGGTACCATTTTGGTTGGTAGGTGAATTCACCACCCATTTTAGTCTATTTTAGTAGGGATTGGGATGTTCACTGGGGGTACCGGCTTTTGACCCATGGCCATAGGTGGATGAATGACTAAACCATGGGTTGGACTTGTGGCAGCTGTCATCCAACACGGGTTTTGTGGGGGGAAGGAAAAGCCTTTTGGTTGATCTTCAAGGGAAGCCACAAGGAAACCGCCCAATTTGTGGGCCAAGCGAAGCCCAAGGCTTGCGGTAGACAGCCCTGGCGGCTAGAACGGAGTCTTGCCGGATTAGCTGGAACCCAAAAAGGTGTTTGGGTCCCCCAAAGAAGATTCCTCTATTGGTTTTTCGGTGTTCCATGCGATTTTCTGCAGGCGTGTAATGCTTAACAAGCTTGCAATCCTGCAAGCTTGCATATGTGAACGATCAGCTGAGGTTGCGTCGTACGGAATCCCGCTATCCAAACAGCTACATGCGCTGCTTCTCTCTGAAATTTGACCATTTGAGCAAACTGGCAAAGACCTGAGCATGTCTCTCGTCGAATCATAGCCTCACAAAGAGGGTGTGTGATCTCACTGACCCATGACGAAGGTTCCTTACTTCATCTTAACATGAAACTCATCAGTGGGCAAAAGGCTCTAATTTGCACAGAGGTGTTTGCACAGCAAGCTCCCGCCAGGTAATGCCGCAGCTGCAAGCTGTGAATCTCATAGGGAAGTATCCGCAAGCGGAGGCCGGAATCGGAAAAAAAGCAAAGCGTTGCGCCAGGGTTTGTTTGACACGCAACCCTACACCGATACCCTACCTTGAGCTGGGCGGATGTGGGGTGGTTGGGAACTACCCGTGGTGATACCCGACCCGTTCAGGCGCAGAGCGCCGTTGAGCTCCCTGACTGAGTCGAGAGAGTCGAGAAGCCTTGGGAGGAGGTTTCCCCCAATCTCCCACTGGAACCCGTGAATATGTAGGGAACGAGGCGTGAAAGTCATAAACCTGGTAGGTGTGTTTCCCCCCCCCAAGAAAAGAGATACCTGGGTGAAGATTTTGGGCCGGCCAACCTGACGATTGCCAAAATTAGGGGAAGGAACTCCAAAAAGGGTTCCCCAAAAGCAGATCGCGCTGGACGTGGGCGGTGTTGGGCTTTCATGTTGATTGGCGTATGTGCTTGGGTTCAGGGTGTTCATTCGGGGATCAACAGAACGCCCCCATTTGCGGAGGAAAGTCTTTCTAGGTCTCACGTTGGTTCTGTTGTAGCACTGACCATGGCCGACTTTCCTCCGGCCACAAGGAGAATTCGCGCGTGGCATGTTGTCCAAAGCGAACAGAGGTTGGCTAGTGGAGGTCACATCCCACGACAAGATCTCAAATGTGGCGGGGGGGGGGGGGTTGAGGGCCCTTGACAAATGGGTCAAGTATCTTAAAATCGGGGACCCGGAAAAATTGGTAAGGTGTCCTTTTCCCTAACCCAAAAAGGGTAACCCCACAAAAAGTAGTCACACACTAAAATACCCACTTGTCACTCACCGCGGGGGGTGTGGGGTTGTGGGGTTGTGGGTTTGTGGGGGTGGGTTTGTGGGGGCCATCCGCTTTCGACTCCTCGTTTCTCGGCGCTCCGAGGAAGCTGGTGAGCAAGGCCCAGCTGCGGTGGCAAGAGCAGGGCGACGTGGTGGACGTAGAGCTGCCAGAAATTGATTTTTCCGTCGGCCGAAACGCCGCGTGTTAAACCGAAAATACGTGTTTGGTTTGTTGTTTGTTTGTTTGGTTGGTTGGTTGGTTGGTTGTTTGTTTGGTTGGTTGTTTGTTTGTTTGGAAAACGCATCCATCCCCTGGTGTAGGGAATCGATCACTGGATTTTTGTCATGTCCATGTGTTGTTTTTGATTTTGCTTAAGTTGAGCAAAGGCCAATTTAAATCGACGTGTCAAGTGTTTGAGGTGTTTTTGTTACGCCTTGTATGAATGAAGGTTGCCTATGTTCCCTGCGGCAAGCTGGGTTGTACTTGATTAAGCCTCTTTTTGCTTTCGGTCTATTTCTTTTGGTGTAGGGAATCGATCACAGCTGGATTTACATATGTCCATGTTTGTTTGAAGAGTACTAAGCAAATGGAGTATATCATCTGCAAATCGACATGCCCAAGAAACCTTTTTAGAGGACACTCATGCATGTTTTTTGAAATGGGTTAAACATCACCTGTTGGGGCCAATTGAGTTCAGTTTCCTTAGGTATGAATCAATTGTCCTTTGAAGTGATGGAGCAGTCGGGTTAGGATGGACATTATCCTCTTTGTTGTTAGAAAGGGCTATGTCCAGGCATTTATTAGGGACCCCGTTTTTTCCACGTATTTACCACAAAAACTGATTCTTCTCTTTTTGTTTACCAGGCAACCCCGGTTTCTCCCAGGCATTTGTCAGGGAAACCCCGTTGTTTCCCCCCCCCCCCAGGTATTTACCAGGGCATCCCCTTTACTTTGTGCAGCACGCCTTTGCCAAAAAGCAGCCCCTATTTCGAGATGAACATGTCAACTTGACTCAACCACATAAAGGAAGTGTGCCATCTACTTCATCCTGGTGGATGCATGACCCAGCCTCGGCTCAAGAACATAGGTGTCCTGGTTTACCTGGTGGTTTAATCTAGGGGGTTTCCCATCTTGCCCCAAAAGGACACCTGTCCAGAACCTTGACTGGCCGTCGCCAGGACATCACCGCCTTGGTACTGTGGCCCACCCTGGGGGACGCCTTGGCAAAGGAGACGCGTGAAAGACGGGCTGTGGTGGTCAAAACCGAACGGGATCCCCGTTTTGGTTGGGATCGGTGAATTTTCACCACCCACTTTGGAACCTATCTTAGTCCGGATTGGGATGTTCACTGGGGGTACAAGCTTTTGACCCATGGCCAAACGTGTGGTTTCCTCGTGCTGTTAAAGACGCCCACAGAAGCCACCCTGGCTGTTTTTTAAAGAACGAGCGGCCATGTTACCACCCCCCAAGTGAACACATCGGAGCTTTCGAAGCACTATGCCGAGAATGAAGGCAAAACACAGAATCACGAGTTGGAGTAATGAGGTCCAAGGTCCCAGCGAGGAATGCATAAACTTTTGCCACAGTCTTGTTTAAATCAAAAGTCTATAGGTGTTGCAGTCATATGTCAACCAATCGATTATTCATGAACCAGCAATGTATGAATAGAGAGAATGCAACCATCTTCTTGATCAGCCAGGTCACTTCGTTTGGGTTAACGTTGCGGACGGTGGATCTGTGAGGTGGGAGGTGATAGACAATCAGGATTCTCTTTGGAAAACATGACCATGGCCTTCATGAGTGTCTAAATGAGTTGGGCCTAAGCCGTACCGACAGAAATTGAACTTCCATTGCCAGTTCCCATGTCTTTTAACTCATCACCTTAACCCCAAGAATTCGACGTTTGTCGACATCATTGGCCCCTTTCGCCTCTGGAAGTCGGTTTGTTTGTGAAACTGTCAGAAAGGGGTCGCGAGGAGAACGCAGACACCGATGCGCCGGAGTCCGGTAACTCGGACAGTGATGCTTGAAATCCGCAGTCTGTCAGTTCGGCGCCATGCTTTACGCGACCTCAGCATGGTCGGCAGATTTGAAGAACAGCGCATCCGTTCGCTTGCAAAACGCCTGGCATGTACTTGCCCTGCGCTTCATCCGTTTGCAAAATGATTCCTGACCTGTACAGACTGTGCGCTTGGCCGTTTTAATGAAACTCCTATCTCCAAGGGAGTTGCTCTCTGACACCCTAATGGGTCACTGGAGACTGTTGACAGGCTTCCACTTTGCTGAAGCCTTGAGGGCTGCGGGGACGCTCCATGCTTGCCCTGTGGCTCCCCACGAGAGCCACTCTGCCAAAGAACTGTAAGGCCTCGAAGTGTGCCGGAATTCGCCGCTTCGTGCTTCGCATTTCTTTGGGACTGTGTTGGCTGGGAAAGAATTACTTTCAACTTGCTCAGCTGAATTCTCACGAGGTTGGTCAAGCTTATGGAGCAAAAAAGACAAAACATATATTGGATAGCCTGAGCCTGTGGGCACTTGCGCGGCCGAATTCGCTGTGCTGCAACGTTTTGGCCACATATGGGATCCGCCCTAAAATTGCAAGTGTTATCCTTACTCCCACGAACATGGCACCTGACAGGGAGTCCCCACAAAAGAAAAATGCTCTTCCAGGTACCTTCCCACAGATGCTATTATAGTGGAAGGGAACCCACAAAATAGAAAATAGATAGCGAATAAAATATGTTATGATTTTTATATGTATTCCCAAAATTTAACCTGTAGAAAAAGAGAGATATAACTTATGTTAAGGGTGGCTTTGCGAAAGGTAACACTCTAATGATATGGCAAAAACGAAAGGAATTAAAGATGGATATGGATAAGAATATATAATAATATATATATATATATATATTTAATTGATTTTATTATTTTGTTTATAAACTAAATATTGAAAAACACTATTTTAAATTATGTATGGTTTGATGATATTTTTAAATAATATATTTTTTTATAAACCGGTATGGCCTCGAGGTTGTATTTGCCGTGTATCGGTAAATCGTTGTAGTGGTATTCCGGCTGAATTATAGTGTTTGTGGAGAGTAATTATATTTGTCTTGGATTTTTTTTTCTTGTGGCATAAGCTCCTACTTCTTTGCGCGACCCGGAAGGCCCCCGAAATTTCGGGGGGGGTTTTAATAATTTTGTTTAGAATTTTATTTTGCCGAATTTTGGGTCGCTTTTGGCGATACGACTTTTAGATTGTTGGACGTTAACCCTCCGCAAAATTCTGTTGAATTTGGCGGTTTGCCCGAAAAAAAATACCGGGCCAAATTTCGGGGAAATTTGGGGTTTTGTTCGAGCCCAAAAATTTCGTATTAGATATCTTTATATTCTTGCTTCTCTTTGTATTTCCTACTCTGTTTTTGTGTATTTGTCTCTTTCAAAATCATAATCGCTATCTTTGTATATCTTTGTGTATCCCAATTTGTTTCTTTTTGGTGTTTGCGCTTCTCTGTCTCTATTTGTTTGTCTGTGTTTTTCTGTCTCTCGGGTTGTCTCGGTTTGTTTTTGTTTGTCTTTATATGTTCGTGTCTGTCGTTTGTCTCTATTTCTTTGTGTCTTTTTGTGTTTCTGTTTATTTCCGCGTGTCCGCGTCTATCTATTTGGTAATCTCTATTTATTTTTGTCTTTGTTGTTGTCTTTATCTTTTTATCTATCTGCGCTTGTTTCTGCGGGTCGATACATAAAGATGATATACTTCCGCGTTGCTGCGTGTCGCATCTTCTTCTTTTAAGCTCCGCGTTCTATTTTGTTTTTTCGATTCTGATTGTTTTTACCATTATGCTTGCTTGCTTGTTTGCTTGCTTGTTTGCTTGTTTGTTGGTTTGCCTGCCCGCCTCCCTCTCTTTTTCTCTTTTTTTTTTTTGCTCTTTCTTTTTTTCTCTTTTTCTTTTTTTTCTTTTTCTCTCTCTCTCTCTCTCTTTTTCCCTTTTGTTTTCTCTTTTCTTTTTTCTTTCTCGTATTCTCTCTCATTTTCTTTGTTTTTCTCTCTTTCTCTCTTTCTTTCTTTGTTTGTTTTTTGTTTTATTGGTATTTTTCTTTTAATGTTTTTTTCTTTTTGCTTTTGTTTTTCTCTTTTTCTTTTTCTCTCTCTTTCTTTTTCTCTCTCTTTCTCTTTCTCTCTCTTTCTCTTTTTGTCTCTCTTTTTCTCTCTCTCTTTCTTACAGAGAGAGAAATAAAAAAGAAGAGGTGTTTCTCTTTTTCTATTTTTTTTGGTTTTTCTTTTTTTCTCTTTGATATTGTTTTATCGCCTTTAGAATCTTTTTTTTTTCCGGGGTCGGGGATACTTTTGGGGAGTTATTGTTTCCGGGCATTTTCGTTAGTAACAATTCCTCTTGTTATGGGTCTTTCTCTTGTTTTTTCTTTTTTTTTTCTCTTTCTTTTTTTGTTCCCCCTCTTTTTTTTTCTTTTTATTTTTTGTTTTCTCTTTTTATTGTGTCGTTGTATCGCCTATAGGATGAGGGACAATTTGTTTAGGTCTTGTTGGGGGGCATCGGATGGTTTCTCCTAGGGCCAGAGATACCCTTGGGGAGCCATTGCCTCTACTTCGGGGTATCTCCGCTAGCAATAACTCCTCCTGTTATGGTCTCTCTCTTTCTCTCTCTCTCTTTTTTTCTCTCTCTCTCTTTCTCTCTCTTTTTCTTTCTTTTTGTCTTTCTCTCTTTTTTTCTTTTTCTCTCTTTTTTATTATCTTTTTGTTTTTTCTTTTTATGGTGTTGTTTTATCGCTTTTAGGATGAGGGATAACTTGCTTAGGTCCTATTATCTTCATTAGTTTGCTATGGTCTCTCTTTTTTTCTCTTTTTCTCTTTTTTTATTTTATTCTTTTTCTCTCTCTCGTTTTCTCTCTTTCGCTTTTTTTCTTTCCTTTTTTTTCCGTGTTTTTATTTTATTGTTTTTTGTTTTTATATTTATTTTGGTTTCTATTTATTTATTTTTATTGTTTTTTTGTTATTTGTTATTTTTTTTTGTTTAAGTTTTTTCTTTTTATTTCTTTTTTGTTTCTTTTTTTTTCTGGTTTCTTTCCTCTTTGATTTTTTATTGGTATTAGGATTGATGGAATTAATGGGTTCTTTTTAGTTTATTAATAATAGAATAATATAGATTACATATAATATATGTTTTAATAAAAAAAAATGAGAGAAAAAACAAAAACAGATATCATTAGCTTTGTTTATTTGTCTACTTGCCTATTTCCATCTCTTGTTTTTTTCTCTTTTTCTTTCTTTGTTTCTCTTTCTTTCTCTTTCTCTTTTTCTTTCTCTCTTTTTCTCGTTCTTGTTTTTTCCTCTTTTTCTCTCTTTTTGTTTCTCTCTTTCTTTCTATCCTTCTCTTTCTCTTTCTCTCTCTCTTTTTCTCTCTCTCTCTCTTTCTCTCTCTCTCTCTCTTTCTCTTCCTTTGTAGAAAAACAGAACGAAAAAAAACAAGCGGAACTTAAATGGGGGAAATACGGCATGCGGCAACATGGAAATGTGCCATCTTTGTGAACCGACCCGTAAAAACAAGCGCAGACAGACAGAAAAATAAAGATAGAGACAAATACAAAAATCAATAGATATTACCAAATAAATAGATATAGACACGCGGAAATAGGCAGAGAGATACAAAAAAATACAAAGAAATAGAGACGAACACCAAACACATACATAGAGACAAACAAAGACAAACCAAAACAACCCGAGAGACAAAGAGACACAAACAAACAGGTACAGACAGAAAGGCGCAAACAACAAAAAACAAATTGCGATACACAGAGATGCACAAAGATAGACATAGAAAGATAGAGATTATGAAAAAAATCGACTCCGACAAATCCTCAAATATTCCCGAATTTAGCCCGGTTATTTTTTCGAAATACCGCCAAATTCTAAAGACATTTATGGGAATAATATCCGAAAATTTAGGAAATATAGCGTCGGAAACAACCCAAAATTCGGGAAACATATTTGCCAATTACGCTACGAGAACTCTAAACAAAATTATGCAGAACCCCCCCCCCCCCAAATTTCGGCGCCTTCCGAACCACGCAAAGAGACGGCAATTTATGCCATAAAGAAGAACATAATACAACTACAACGGCTTACCAATATACGAGAAATACGATCTCGAAGCCATACCGATTTATAGAGAAAGAGAGAAAAAACATATATATATATATATGTTTTTAATATCATTTTATTATTTAAAGGATAAGGAAGAATTTGCCCAGGTCTTGTTGAGGCATTGATTGGTTTTTCTCGGGGCCGGAGGCACTTTTGGGGAGTTCTTGCTTCTACCTCAGGTATGTTTATATATATTTTATTGGGATTTATTGTTTTATTAAATATATTTTTAAAATTTAGTTTCGAGTATTTAAAATTAATTTTAGGATATTAAACACTAAAATTACTCTCTCGGATATATCTTTTTTAATTTTCATAAAACTCAATTTGGGACGGGTTTAAAATTATTTTTTAGATATTTATTCAAAAAATCCAATTTCAGATTTAAAATTAATTTGAGTTATTTACCGCTTTCTTTAGTATATATCCACTAGAATCCATTTATTAAGGGTCATTCCTTTATATATCTCATTGGCTTCCACCATTCTACCAAAAACAACAAATTTAAAAAATTTTCGATTTACAATTTTCAAAAAAACAATATATTCAAATATAATACCAAATTCTTATATAATTTTCGATTCCCAAATCAAAAACTCTACAACCTTCTCTCAATTCTTCAGGGTAAATTAAAACTAACTTTAAAAATTATGAAAATCCCAAAACCACATTTTAAAAAATCCTAGTTTTACTAACTAACCCTATTAAAATAATTATATTTCAAATATATATTCCAAACCATTATATTTCGTATTTCATAAGAAAATAAATATATATATAAAAACCATATTTAATAAAATAAAGCAACAATATATATAAACAATAAAACTAATATATATAAATACATATTAATAATAGAAAAAAACAATTATAATACATAAACCAATATAACCAATATATTATAAAACATTTTTTTACATGTTTCTTTTTTAAACAAAAATCAAATTATAAAAAATAATATTAGCGGGGGCCCGCTACTTTCCAGCAGCGTGCGAAATGAAGCCCATATTAAGAGAGTAACAGAATCAAAATATGGAGTAAAAAATCATTCCAATTTAAATTGCAAACCTCCGGGGCGACTTTTCTCCTTCAAAGCATAAAAAGGTCTGCGGGAATCGGTTCATCCGCATGGTCAACATGTGAAGTGCACGTCTCATGCACCCCCCCTTGGCACTTTGTGCCAACAGCCAAAATGTATGGCGTCGAGCATCTTATCGCTCTCAGCCACCTTGCGCTCCTTGGCGCCAGCTCAAGACCCCACCTCCAGCTTCTTGAAGATCGTGAAACCCACGAACTCCCTCAGGCCAGACCGCGACCCCACCGTGTAGTCG